TCTATAGATTACACATTTTCTTTGGGGGCTGGAATAAAATATGAGTGCATAACACAGGCCGGCGTTGATTGAGAATGGAGAATGGAAGTGGGTCAACGTTTGGTTGAAAGAAAAAGTAGTATGCACTGTTCACATCATAATAACATGCCTTGTTGGATTGATGAAAGCTTGAAGCTATGCTACAGCAAAGTTTCTCTTTCAAATTAAACTACACTTAGAAAATGCAACACATTCTTGTATTTTATTTTCAAGACATCCATTCAATTCCCCTTCCCACCACCACCACATCAACAACGATAGGACCAGAAATATATTAACAATTAATGCATTTTAAACGTATTTTCATTATTAAAAACTTATGTCAAATTTTATTGAATAATTTAATGTGTTTTATAAAATTAATCAATCTTTATAAATTATTTGTGAGTACTACATTTTGAATAATGATATTTTTTAAATAGCAGTTTTTTAGGAGTTAGTTTTATTTTTCATCCTTTTAAGTAATTTTTTATTAAAAATATTTCATTGATTTAATTAAGTAAATTTTTATAATCTATTTATTTATTTATTTATTTAATTTAATTTAATATGATAGAGTATTTATCATTAAGCATTCATATTCATAAATTATATATAAAGATTGACATGTAAAATTATATTAAGTAAATGTATTTTTAATCAAATATTATTATAAATTATAAATATGACAATTTTTTAAATAAAAAATAACAAATATTTCACAGAGTATAAAAATATTTATAAATTATAAATATATTTAAACTACTGAAACTTTTTAACATTTTAAAAATATTTGTAAACGTTAATTTATTGATAAAATAACTACAATATTAAATACAAACATTTAAAAACATTACTATTATTTTGTTATATATATATATATATATATATATATATTAATGATGATTTGTGAATTTCTTATTATAATTAATGTTGGTTGAAAATTTTAAGTATTAATTAGAATGACTAAAGAAATTTAAAAATATTTTTAATTGGATAATTGATTAATAAATAATATTAATTTGACTTAATATAAAAGTTCATAACAAATTCTCACAAAATAAAAAAAAATAAAAAACACATATAGTGTGAAATCAGAAGAGTTAGAAGGTTGTAGAGAAACCACTCTATTTAAATTTATAATAAAAAAGCTAAATTGGGTTATAAACAGCTAAATCAAATATATTTTATATTAACCCCCACCATGATATAAGATTTTGTAAAAATTTAAAATATATATATACTTTAATTATAAGAATGTGATGTGATGTGCGTGTGTTTGTTATACCTTTAAGTTTTACCGTTTTCTATTTATATTATTAAAAGGGACTATCTTCTTAAATTTTAATTTGTATTTTATAAAATTATCATAATTTATTGTTCATATGAATATCTAAATATAAACAAAGGACAAAATTGTTAGTATATTTATTACGATTAACTTACTTATTTTTATGGATTTTTTTTTATTCATCATTACATAATTATATTTCATTTCAAAATTTTTATTCTTTTTTGTATGTCAACAAATGAAAAAACGGTTTTCCTGATATGATTTCTTCTTCTTTTTCTTTGAAAAATATGATAAAACAGCATAAAATGTTTGGTGATCTTGAATAGAAGTTCAATGCTAAGATCTCTGATCACTCAGTGGAGCTGAAATAAATAGGGACCCTAATTATAAAGGAAAAGGGATGATGATGGGCATATCATTGACAATTTTGAGTCTTCAAAAGCATACTTATGCAGCAAAATAATCAATTTTGTTGATAGATTGGTATAAACACTTCACTAATCTCTACCTACTTCTAAAGTCTGAACTGTGGTAGGTGGCCTAAGAAGAAGCACTCAACTTCTGCCAACCCAATTGGACAAGGACCCCGGGATAGTTTTCTTGTTATTTTTCACCATTATGAGGAGATATTTTAACACTATGTTTCAAATAATACTCTTTTTTCAATCTATTTCTATTATTAAATGAAATCTTATTTTGACCTTATCAATCAATAGTGTGACCAAATGATAATGAAACTTACATAAAATTTTATCCAACCATAATAAAATATTTTAAAAACAGTAAATATATTTTTAACATTTCTTTTTGTCAAACTCACCACAATTCTATATCAACTAAAATATAACGAGCTTATTTCTGATGCCATTGACTTTGATCATATACCATGGCCCAATCGTGTGGAGACAGATTCTAAGATACATGAAAAGTCTAATCTTTGAAATAGTGGAATGGACGCACCAAACGTTTGGTTATAAAATCAATGTTTCTTGGTTTAAATGATGAAAATTTTGATTTTTTTAATAAATGTCTTAAATTTAAGTTTAGTAAATGAAAAAAATTTATGTTAAAAAATATTTAATTTTGAAAGAATTAGTTTGATTCAATCTAATTAATTAAAATTGAATGTAATTTTTAAATAGTAATGAATAAAAAATTTGGCTGTATACAACTGCATGTTATAAACTTTTTGTGGTGATCGGTCAATTTTAGTTAATGATTGACCAGTCACATGCTGTGTATAATAATTTTACTGTACACTCAAGAGTTAAGTAGATTGATGTATAGCAATCTCTCTTTATATATATATACAGACATGCATGTGGATATGTTTGTTATAATTTTAATTTTCATACAATGTGCCTATATTTTCAGTTTGATTTAAACACGGAAGAAGTTTAATTCTTATACATGTATTTTTTTAATTTATTATATATATAGCATTATGAGAATTATATAAATCTATAACATATGTATTTTACAACTAACGCTAAATTAAAAATAAGTATCATACCAAATTTTTATTTTACACATATATGAAGTTATTACTATTAACGTGGTTTTGGCTTACTATTATTATTTTTGTGTTAGTATGATATTAATGTTAACAAAATTTGTAGTAAGAAGTAACATGTAATAGTTATGGTAAGGAAATAATAAAATTGTAGTTATAATATACTAATAGGAGTCACATTCATAGGTGGGTGTGTGAGATGGAAGGAAGCAATAGGAGGAAGTCTATAAATCATGCACTGTACCTTCTGCCTAGTGCTCTGCTTCATTGTTTATTGAGGCACACTTCAAGTCTTAGTCATTATGTCTTTGGTGTCTCCTCCCATTAATATATATATATATATAAAAACACTTATAGTTAAGTGCATAGTTATCGAAGGTACAATATGTTATTAATTTATTATTATTATTTTTTTATTATTGAAGCCATGACTTAATAATTCGGAGGGAATTGGGAGAAGACGTTATCAAAGTTGTGTGTACATGCATGCACGTTGCTTTGCTTGTATATACGTGGTAGTGGTAGAGATGTCCATTTATTTGCTTACCCAATTCAAACTCTCGTTTCTTTTTATATGCCCCTTTAGGGAATAATACATAAATTAACAATTATAATCATTTTTTTTTGTAAAATTTAATATGACTTTGTATTATTATTATTTCATGATTAAAAAAATTAGCACTTTAAATGTTAAAAATATTAAATTAATTGAAATAAATGCAGCTTTATAATAATTAAAAAATTATAAAATTTCCTTGTTGAATAACTAATTTAAAAAGTAAATGATTTAATTTAATACAAAGGTTTATAAAATTTGTATCGTAAGATAAGAAATATACCTGATCTTATGAAAAAGGAAGTATGTTTAGAAATTATCTTATTTTTTAAATGAGAATTTAATTTTATAACATAAAGGTTGATGAGTTAAGTTATAATGCAATTTTTGTTTTGTATGATATTTGATGATTGATGTAAGATAATATAAGTAACCTTGTATTGGTGTTTATGATTTGTTATATAAGATAAATATCGCACCAATTTAAGGAGAAAGAAATGAGGTAAAAAAAAAAGTCGGTGGACAGTTTTTTTTTCCTTTAAATATATCACATCTCTTAAAAATGGTAACAATTTGTGATGAGTAAAAAAATAAAATAAAATCATTATTATAAAAAATTGGAGTTGAGAAACATTAATTTAATGAACATAAATGATCACTGAGTTATAAGAGGCGTTTAATATTTTTTTCAATCACCAGAAAATCGATTCTAATGCATTAGAACATTAAACCAGTTAGAGCTATAATCATAATTGTCAAAAGAAAAAGTTGTAAATAATAATAATTTAATTATAATTTTTTATTCACTTGAAACATTTATCTGGAGATCACTTTTTTTTTCCGGGGTTACATGACTAACATTTCATGTTTGCTTCTATATCTATGTTGATGAAAAATGTCTATCACCATTTATATGTAAACATTTTTATTTAAAACATTGTTATAATTAAATTGATTAACAAAAATAAAGAATAGTAACTAATAATAGAATAAGCACTACGTCATATTAACCTAAATACTTAACAAATCAATTTTAAAGACTTTTAAAGCGAAAGAATATTATTTTTTAATATTCGATAAATATCCGAATCACAATCGTGAACTCTGTAAAATGTTTTCTGAACTGTTTTTATTTAGATGAACGGTGTTTGAGGACTCTTAATTGGATTTAGGGTAAAAACAACTAAATAAGTATAATTTAAAATAAAATAAAATTTTAGCCAAGGGTGGTATAATAATAATAATTAATAGTGGATTTTTTTATAATAGAGAAATTGACAAAATGAATACAATAATTTTTAATAAATTATTTTCATGCACATTGTAAAAAGTAAACACTAGTAATAATACTTAAAGATTTAACTATTTACAAATTACTCGTATATCAATCAATGAAATTGCTATAAATAAAAAAAAATATAACTTTGACAACAAATTAAAATTTGATATTAATTTTCTCCTAATTTTAGTTTTAAAATAAATACGTTTTAAATAAATATTTATGTAAATATTTAATTATAACATAAAATTAGTTTTTCAAAATCAACGAAATTAAATTTAGAAGTCAAGAAGCAATATATGATCAATAGCCTCACCCAATCTCCAAATCTTCAATTCTATTCTGTTTCTTTCTTTCTTTCTGGTTCCTATCTAATCCATCACACTCCCAACAGTGCTTTGGGCTTTCTCTTTAACTAACAATAACTGGTAACCCTCTTACCACTCTCTCTCTCTCTCTCTAACTCAAAAACATTCATTTTTTTAATTATCTTCAGAGGTATAGCATAGTTCTCCCTCCTCAATCAACGCTCAAAGAATGAATTCATAGCCACCCCATCATTGAAGTTGGAGTCTTTTGCCAATTGGGGTGGCGGAAAACGCTTCCATGGAGTTCGGGAGTGATGGGTTGGAGCAGAGTTGGTGGGCCAACATGCCTCAGGAGCTTCTCAGAGAGGTTCTCCTCAAAATTGAGTCGTCGGAGACCACGTGGCCACCCCGGAAGAACGTGGTGGCTTGCGCCGGAGTGTGCCGCACATGGAGACACATCATCAAGGAGATCGTTAAGCCACCTCAACTCTCTTCCATCATAACCTTCCCCATCTCTCTCAAACAGGTTACTTGTGAATAACTTTGAGTTCAGTTTCTGAAAGTAGTGGTTTGAATTAGTTGAAATTGGAATTTCCATGCGTTGTTGATTTGTTATGTGTTGCTTTAACATGCTTTTAATTGGTGAATGCTTTTTGGCAGCCTGGCCCGAAGGAGCACCTACTTCAGTGCTTCATTAGGCGTATCCGTGGCACCCAGACATATTATCTATTTCTCAGTTTATCTGGTGGTTAGTAGTTAGTAAATAGTTATACTTGTGTTTGATTATCCCATTGTGTTAGTTTTGAAGGATAATATAATGTCCCTTTTATTTATTCTTTCTCAGTTGTTGGTTTTCCATTTTAAGATCCCTTAAGGTTCCGTTTGGATACGCAATTTATTTCAGCGTTTATTCAATAAGCTCTTTTTAAACGAGAGATTATACCATGAATTTCACGATGAAATTAATTAGGATAAGATGAAAATAACTCATTTGATAATTTGTACTTAAAAAGCTTAATGAAATGAGTTGATTCAGAAGTTGTTTATAAGCACTCCCAAACAGGTCCTAAGCTTGCAATTCTATTTGTGTGTTTCTGTTTGTTTCTTTTGATAATTGTTCTTTTTTTTTTTTTTCAATTGCAGCACTAGCTGATGATGGGAAGTTCCTTCTGGCTGCACGCAAGTTTAGACGCCCCACCTGCACGGATTATATTATCTCCTTGGATGCAGATGATATGTCCAGGGGAAGCAATGCCTATGTTGGGAAATTGAGGTGCACTCTTAATCAGGCTCTGTGAACATTGCTGTTTTCTTGTTTGTTAGTGCAAAGACTTATGCATTTTTCTTCTGCTTTGATAAGATCAAATTTTTTGGGAACCAAGTTCACAATCTATGATAGCCATCTGCCTCATTCGGGGGCAAAGATTACAAAGAGTCGCTCCACTAAGCTTGTGAATCAAAAACAAGTTTCACCAAGGGTCCCTACTGGAAACTATCCCATTGCCCACATCTCATATGAATTGAATGTGCTAGGCTCCAGGTAAAAGCTGTTGCTGCAATTCTACGTTACTATGATAGGAATAATTCTAAATCCTCCTACTTTGTATGCCTACAAATCCTCCCAATTATTAAATGAAGAAGCTATTAAATACTTTTTAAGACAATACATGTATACACTTTTTCATTTACTACTTACTTTATCATCAAAAAGATATATGTGAGGATATAACAAAGCTCCTATGATAGTCATCTATATTTATAAACTATACAGTACTTACCTTGTACTCATGGAAAGCAGGGGGCCAAGGAGAATGCATTGTGTGATGGATGCCATTCCTGCTTCTGCAATTGAACCAGGAGGTGTAGCCCCTGCACAGACTGAATTTTCTGTATGCAACATAGATACGCTTCCTTCAATCCCATTTTTCAAGACAAAGTCAACTAATCTGGACAACTCCATATCTGGACACCTTGGTGATAAAAAAGATGATGTGCTAGTGTTGAAAAACAAGGCTCCCAGGTGGCACGAGCAGCTGCAGTGTTGGTGCTTAAACTTTCATGGGCGAGTGACGATTGCTTCAGTTAAGAACTTTCAGCTGGCTGCTCTGCCAGAAAATGGACATGCTGGTTCACAAGAGGATGAAGTTATACTCCAATTTGGAAAAGTTGGGAAGGACTTGTTTACAATGGATTACCGGTACCCTATATCAGCATTTCAGGCATTTGCAATCTGCCTCAGCAGCTTTGATACCAAGATTGCTTGTGAATGATGCATGTTTGAAGTAACTATGGACAGGTATTCATTTGAAATATTCTAAAATTAGACTATAGCTTGGACAAGAAGTGAATAAAAAGAAAGCTATATGGTGTTTGCAGCAACCTCATTGGTAGATCATTGAGCAAATGCATGTTGCTTGTATGGTTACTGTATTAAGAATTGGCTTAGACTAGTTTATTACACCTTTTTTCTCTTCTTGTATTTGTGATCGTGGCCACATTCATATTACCATCTTGTTACGGTAGACGAGAATTTCCAGCTATATTGATAACTTTGCTTAAAAATCTTGATTCATCTTGAACATTTGATTTTGATAACCGCTTTTCCTTCAAAAATCAAACAAGAAATATAACTTTTGTGGCTGCTGTTGTGTTGATTGTCTGTAGTTTAGCTGATTGTTAACTGTTGTGCTGTCATTTTTGCTTCTTTGTTCATGCCAGATTACATGCAAGTGGCCTTCTGTTGCTGGAGCAATATGATAAAAACTGTTTGCAAAGGTGCTTGGAATTTTGGATAGTTGTGATCTGAATTACAAGGACGGTGCTGCAGATGGATGGGGGATGGTTCTGTCTCTTTTTCTGGGATCAAGTTTCAGTTCTGGGTAGATCACATGAAATTGGAATGTAGCCTGCATTTGTATCTAGCTCCTCGTAGTGTGTGCCAATATTTTAATTTTTCATAGATTTGCCTTCCATTGGTATAGTTCCATTTATATTACCTGGACTTGGATGAGGTGACGTTATCAATAACGGAAATAACGTTTACAAATTTTATTGAACCCTCACAAAATCCAGCGCTTTAATCTATAATCAATGGGCTATTATGGGAGTACGCAAAACCATGTTCTAACTCATCATGGGGTGCACCTGGCAACGAAAGAGCTAGAAGCCTATCAACCAAATGCAATCAAAATAGGGAATGTTTGCTTTTAGAAGAAAAATCACTTCGTCGCATTTTTTTAATTATTAATAAAAAAGCCCTTTCAGATAAAATAGAATAATAAACCTTTTTGTATACAAAATAAAATCAAGAGAATCGGTACTGAGTAGGAATGATACCTTACAAATTTGGACGAGTTTAAAAGTAACCAATGATAATGTTGGATGATAAAAGAGCATTCACGATCATTCATTGCATGGCTATTGTAAGTTTGTAACTCTTTCGTTGGCTTTCGTACTAAACATTCCTCATAAATTAATCAAAATTCACGCTTCCAATTAAACCTTTTGAATCTAGAAATAAAACACTGGAAAAATCTGATGTTTGAACCTAATTTCTATTTCGACGATGGATGCGTGAACTTTATTTCTACTTTGACAAAGCAATTTCCTTTCTGTCGTTTGATGGCTTCCATGAAAGTTGTAGCTTTTGAGTCCAACACCAACGATAATTTCAAATGTAAATATGGCGTAAAAATATCGTAGATTTGTAAAATATTTTACTGTTAAGCACCAAGTATATAATAAATCAAATAAACTGAATAGAACAATCAATTTGAAAGTATTCAAATTTTAGAAGAGGAGTAAAAGAAATGAGTGATGATGAAAGGAAAAAAGCAGTAAGCCGAGACAAGTACATGGCAACATATCCTTGCGTTTGTCATCACATTTTTTCTTTGCTCCTATCCAAACTAAGTAGACATCTTATATCTCAAATTGAATACAAATCTCAACACCAGGTAAACTAAGGTCAGAGAGCAAAATCCTAGTCCAGACTCGATATAATTGCTGTCAAACCAATTATGATATCATACCGATAATGTCAGTTATTGTGGTAAAGAGTTGTATACTAAGCATCCCGATAGCAAGGCCAATTTTAATTTAAATGCAGATTAGTTGTTGAAAAGTGAATTGCGGAGAAATAGTAGATGATTATCGATGAGGAAACAAAAGACAGTACCCGATAGCATCAAAATTTACCATATATCAATGGGAAAAAAAATAGACAAGTGTTACTTTATTGTGGAGTTCAATACTTACTCTAAACTGGCCAAAATCCCCCGCAAGGTGAATTTTTTACCCCCTTGAATTCTCATTCTCTAACAATGCAAATGCCCGGATTCTTTGAAAGCAAGAACGTAATGTAAGGAAAAGGCACAAATCAGTAAACTTCAAAGACATGTTAGCTGGAACCATCATTAATAAAACCTTCTTTGCGACCTTCAAAGCCGGGCCGCATGAGCTTTTTCTCTCTTTTTGCAATTTTACGCATTTTCTTCTGATGAATCCTCTCAGCTATATTTTCTGACCTTTTTTGCTGCTTCTCTGCCTTCAACTGGTCCCTTGTTTGAACCCTCTCCTTCCATTTCTCTGCATTTTTCTGCTGCCTCTTCTTCTCCTTATTTATGCTTTTTTGCAACAGTTTGGGATCATCATGGACCTTAATCCCGGAAGCTCTATCCATTGCCGCTTTCCATGATTGCTTATCAGCAAAAGCTTTGGCCTTCTCAGGATCTTTCTTCTCCACTTCCTCTAACTTCTTAGCCCTTTCAAGTTTCTTATGCTTTGAAACCTTTCTTTTCTTCTTCCCTTGCACTTCTTCATTCTGAAGTTTAACATGGCCAAAGACAAGCTCCTTGGAGGCCTCGGCGGCATCCTTCTTCTCTTTCACCGCCAACTCTTGGCCCGCAGGGTTACTTTCATCATTCTCATTATCCCTCTTGCGTTTCCTGTCCTTAAATCCTCTCTTAGCATTTCTATCATCCTTCTTAGCTTTCTCGGAATTCCCATTATAACGAGTTGCCCGAAACTCCAAAAGTTTGCGATGGAGCCTTTGCCGAAGTCCTTCGTAAGTCACAGACCGATCATCTCCTTCGGGCCCAGACATGACAGGCTTAACCGCACCCTTCTCTTCATCACTGTCATTCCCTTTTCCCAAGCTTTGCTTGAGAATGTCAAGTGTAGTTGCAGAGGGTTTCTCAGGGTCTAATCGATCTCTGCGAGACTTCTTGATATTCTCCTTAGTTTCTTTCTTTGCCTCAGCTTTTGCGGCTTTGCTGAGACCCTGAAACCATGGTTTCTCATCATCATCAATTGGCAAATAAAACTTGGATGGAATATGCTGAATCAAGTTATCAAAGAACAGGGTATGGTCGTGGATCACAGACTCCAAATCTTGACCATCTGTAACAACCTTTTGCTTCTTCTTCTTCATCTTCAAAATTTCACTGTAACGACAAGATGGAATTGAAAGAAACCAACAAAAACCTTATTATAACAAAGTAAATAATATTTGAATACAAATTGAATTTGAGTTAATCAATTTACAGTTTCTAACAAGAATTAAGATATATGATTAAAAAGGTTGAATGGTGTCATCAACTCATTCAAAAGTGGAAACTTAACGGAGAGAAAGAAAAAGGAATAACCCTAAACGCAGAGAAACCCTATGCGGCGTAAAGAGATTGGTAGAAAAGAGTGAACGAAAGTGACTGAGAGAAGGAAATCTGAAAGAATCATGTTTAGGGTTTCTTCATTTCTGTTTTTATTTTTCATTTATTGACAAAAATTCACTCAATAAATTAGTTGGAGCAAGTGTTGTTCAATCCGTGATCTCCGTCAGGTTTCTCCTAGTACACACGTGTCATCTACTCAAGAAAATACTGTGGCTCAAACTTTTTTTATATATTTATTTATTGATTAAAAATAAAAAACCTATTAAAAAATACAATGATGTATTTTAATATAATTTAAATTATTTTTTAATAAAAATTGTATCTATAATTTATTAGGTCTAATTATTTCTTTATGTCAAAACATCTATTTATTAAAAATAATTTATTTATAAACAAATTTTATTAATTGTAAAATCTAGAAAAAAAAGGCTACAATTACTATTTTAAGGTAGTTAGACAGGTGATGCATTAGAATCGCAAGGATTTTTATAAATTAAAAAATTAAAAATGCTCTTTTGTTAATTGTTAGTAATAAATATTTATTATACAAAAACCAAATTAAGTTATTAAAGAAATAATTAGTATTTGGAACGAATAGGAAATAATAAAAAAAAAAAATGCTTCAAGCAAGAAAAAGTCCGAGAAAAAGAACAACTCCTAAAAATATTCTTAATTAAAAAGAAAGTTGCAAATTTAATAAAGGGCCTCAATTATACAAAAAGACAAAGTCCATTTGAATAATTTTTCTTTCTCCCGTAATCATACAACAAATTGTTATTCAAATCAATTATACAAAAACGCTTGTTCCTGGCCTTTTACTTGCTTCTTTCTCATCAGTACTTAAATCATCTGAATGCAATTCCTGTTTATTAAGGCTCCTAACAAACTCAGTGAATGAAGGAAAATGCTCTGGTGAAAAGAAATAAGCTCCCATTCTATGATAAGTGAACAACTCCAGCGCATTATCTCCACACAAATTCTTCTTAATCTGCTCAAATCCCTCAAGAGCACCACACTCTGAAGCATTTTGCCCTGAAACCTTGACCCTGTGCTTTCTGCAAGTTTCCATAATTTGTGTAAGGAGCAACTCGGGACTAGAGAGTGTTTCATGTGGTTGACATGCATCTGACATGTCCATTCCAGGTATTATCATTTTGCATGAGTTCTTAGCAAACATCTTCACAACTGGTTCATAGCCATCCCTCTTAATAGTGTTATAGAACCCTGCGGTTAGCTCAGATGGATGTGATCTTGTTCTATACCAAGAGTGCATGAGTGGGATTTTGCCATATACTTGAACTCCAGTGTCACTGAAAATTGAAACTGCCAATGATAGGAGACAAGCTCCATGAGTTACAAGCTGTTCAGCATACCATGAAAGGAAAAAGTTCCCATATGTAGATTCCCAAGAACCCCTCTCCCTGAAGAAGCTATTGGAGTTTGGTGACTGATCATAGGTAGGGGCATCATGTGGACCACCAAGCCCCCACAAAGGATTTCCAGATGCTTCAGCATGCTGCTTGATAAAGCTAAGCATGTTTTGGTCATAACATTGGAATTCTCCAACTCCTTGAGTTTGATTATTAGAGGGTAATAGACTGTGAGATGGATATCTTAGTTCACCATTTGGTCCTAAACCCATGGTAATGCCCTACAGTATAGCAAGATACAAAACTTTGTCAATCATAAATGTTAATATGAAAGTGCATCCATTGTACAAAATTGGTCTTGGATTCTTACCATAATTGTGGAGCACATGAATGAAGAGAATGAAGACTTAAAGCTCTCACAGAAACTGTGGTAGACTTGGAGTGGAGTCTTACCATCAAGAACAGGAAGATGATCAACTGCCAGTGACAAGCATTCTTTATAATACTGTCCTGCTCTATCTCTGTAGAAAATATTGGGCTGAGATTCACCAATCTGATATACCCACCTTGGTAGTGGGATATTTGGTGTTTTTAACGCATGAAAACAAAGGGTCACGTGGAGCTTGAGACCCACTTTTTGAACCATCTCAGCAACAGCAAGATATCCTCTCCAATCATATTTTCCCATGGCATCTTTCTCAACAATTCCCCACCAAACAGGGAGCTCCACTCCCTCAATTCCTAGAAGCTTCAAAGCTTTTAAGCCAGCTACATTTGCTCTAGCATGTTTTAATACAGTATTTCTGTCAAGAGAAACAACATCTTGAGGCAGACCCACAAATAATCTTACACCATCTATCTGCAAGATATTGTTTTAAATTCATTTTAGCACGGTTGAAATAGACATATGAAGACAAGAGGTAGGTTTAAAAATACAAAAATGTTTAATTCATTTAATAGTTAAAATAATTTAAAAACATAAAAAGTAAGAGAATTTAAAATTATTTCCAAGTTATACAAGTGTCTTATCATACAAAATTTCAAATGGATAAGCAATAGTCAATAGTGTAAATGACTAGACAACGAATTTAACATGCAAATTTGGACAGATATTGATTTACTTTCTGGCGGGAGAGATCCAACGCTAGATATACAATTTTAAGTCAAACGAAATAAACACAACTATTATTAACTACATAATCATCTCAATTTGTTAGAGATTAATAATAACTAAAAAAATAATCCCATTTTCCCTCTAGTTTCTCAACAACAAAACACAACACCGCCATAACATACCGATCTGGATCTTCGTACAGAACAAGAGTGCTTCTCTTCTTCAACGGCTTCAGATTGATGAGCTCTCACATTGATGCGTATCTTTTGCTTCTTCCACCAAAGATTCTGAGCAAAACATATCGTAGTCGTAGAAGTGGAAAACCTGCCATTATCTTTGAGATTACAGAAACCCAGTTCTGTATATGTCAAAGCAGATTTTCCCAGCTTCGGTTGATAACTCGCAATCACCGAGACCTCCATCACCAAAAACCAGTAATCACAATAAGCTTGAACTCGAAGGGAATAAAAATACACGCGTTTTTCAGAACACCCACTTGAAATTTTCTCGCAAAATTTACACAGAAAACGCTATAACGAACTAAAGAGAAGATTTTGACGGTGGGAAAAAGAATGCTTAGAAACGGTTATATATAAAGGAACATGCAACGTGTCGTTCGACTGGTTTAACACCATGATACTATTTTAGTGTTCGTATTCGAATTTGAATGATACTCTTAGTACATTTCTATCCAACAATTTTTATAATTATAAGATAGTTAAAAGATAAATGAGAAAAGTATATACTAAAATGTGTGATGTGGTGAAGAAATATAAATAAATAAATAAATAGGAATAAATATCTTATTTTGTGGAAATAACCAGATTTTAATAAAAAAGAAAAAGAAAAAAATGGTCCTCGAGTAATATGATAGAAAATGATTCATTTATTTTAAGACGGCAATGCAGATGCAGTGCGGGCGAATGGCGAGCGATACTGCGTGCTGCATGTGATTGATTGAAATCTGTGAGTGGGGTTCCCTTCGCAATTGGTATGGAAGAAAGAACAATTGTAGCTGTGGTGATGAAGAAAACGTTGCAAAAGTAAAATAAAACAAACAACAATGATGATATATGTTGAAAAGTAAAAAATGGTGTGCCAATTTTCGGTACCTAACATTCGGTTGAATGTTAGCGTTTTCGGTGGCAAACGCGTTGCGAATTCGGTGCCAACACGTTTTGTTGAAAATCAAACGTTTCATTTGTCTATAAATACGAAGCTCTTCCATCCATTCTATGTATCCCATTTCTGAGAGAACAACTGAAAATATTCAGAGAGCAAAAACAGAGAAAATAGTTTAGCTTCTGATACAATTGGGTTACGGGTTGTGAATGGTTGTAAGTCATTTTTGAGTGTTTTGTAAATACTGAGTGTATTCCCTTTTCCAGTAATATATCTGCAGCAGTCCGGAGACGTAGGCATTATTGGCCGAACTCCGTTATCAATTTTGTGTGTGCAATATTCCACATTTATTTTTCACTTCCACAAATCTGACATTACAAAAAAATTCGGCGTAATTTTCCCAACAATATATATAAACAAGGTCTAGTGAGCCAAACATTCTTCGATGAGCCACGACAAGTTTCGTAGATAAGAAAAAATCCTCTGCTATTTGACACCGGTTTGGACCATGTGAATGATGGCCCATTACATTGTGTTATATTTTATACCAAAAATGTTATTTATACAATATTTTATAGACAAGAGAAAAAAATAATTGGGTAAAAGTTATTGTAATTTCTTACTTGAATAACATTTTTCTTATTATAATACTACAAATTTATCCAGAATGGGACAACCCATGGTCTATATTTTGGAAATATCTCCAAAACAACTATTTTCATGTTTATGCTATTTAGATGACCCTATCCATTATGGGACGACCCACTCGGTGTGCCTAGGATATCCAGGCTACATGCGGATACTAATATATATTCATTGTGAGTTGTGACAGTGATCCCATGGATGGACCCAATCGATTAACTGGTGTGAAGACCCCGCTACAGATGCCCATACATCCCAACCTCAATTCAACACAAATTATTACATGCTCAGTACTTTTACAATAGTAAGTTCATGTTATTTTTGGCATACTTGCATTGATTTAGTGGACAGACAAAATAAAAGTTAATTACTGTTGCTCTATATCATGCTTGAAATTTCTCTAAATCAACTGTGATTGAAGACCAGTACCTGTCCACAAAAATATGAAGCATCGTTTTTTCCCCTTAATTCACAACCAGAAATGTTTTCTCTATTTTATATCTTCCTAAAGTAATTTGGAATGATGGGTAAGCCCTCTTATGCTCTTTTAAAGTACTATTTGCTTATAAATTTGACTTTTTTAAGGAGTGTATGTTAGAACGCAGATTACAAAGTTATAACCATTATTTGAAAAAAAAAAATAAAGGATTAGTATTATAACAACATATAATTAACAGTTATAATTTTACTCTTTAGATGAAGTCTACCATCTCACTTTAGATGAACAAAATTATACCCTTCCGTTAGTTTATTTATAATGAAAATACTCTACAGTTAGTTCTTTTGCAACTTAATTGTCGAGTAATCTTTTTTGTCAGCTCAACAGACCCCTTGTCAACGACTGAAAATCTTTGATTGTTATTCATATTAAGTAAACATCATGAGACTTGATATCATCATTATGTTTTCAGTAGGGTAGTGGAAGTAAAGAAATAGTTGCCTAAAAGAAGAGGAAGTGCTTGGTGGTCCACCAATGGGTCAGGAAGGCTGGGGGATCACAAGGCCCAATAATTGTTTCATGCGGCCCACCAACACAATACAGTTGCCCTGTCCATAACTTTCAGTCAAATTTTTTTTTTTCATATTTTGCACAAGTTCTCACATAAATCTCAACTCTTACATTACTTTTTAGTTAACGTTAAAATAGATACTTTATAGAGTACCTAAACATTAGTTACTCTCATGTTAATGATTATCTACTTAATCTACCCTACCAATTTACCAAGAGAATTGAACAAGTGTATTGAATTTTTAAAATCAATTTTCAACATTAACCTTTTTATAATACTTGTACAATGAGTTCCAGACTAGAAGCCAACATGTATTTTCACTTTTGTAAGTATCAACTATACCCCATATATTTAACGACGCCAAAAGCAAATAACAACTTGTTCTCTGCTCCAAGCTAATCTTCGAGACATGGATCCATGCTATGAATGAAAGAACCATACATGGGTGATTGTTGCAAGTAACAAAATTAGGGAGAGATATAAACCACGAACAGTGTTTCCAATACCTACTTATTACATGAGATGTTCACTAAACTTTTGAACTAAAGAAGAAAACAAAATTTAAGATATACAAGATAGAGAATAAACTTTTGACCATTGAGAAAGAAATAAATACAATATGTTCTACCCCTATGGTGCCAATGGCTTTACCAAATAGAAGTAAGACATTGAATCAGCAGCATTAGCAGCCTCATGAATGCTTGTGAAAAATATGGATGTGATATCACAGTTCTTGTATATTTTTTCAATACTCCTGATACAATCTATCTATACGAGTCCTTTGATGTCTTTGATTGTGTGTGCCCATCCCCATGCATGTTCTTCTTTCTCCTTGGTGCACCTACACTAGGATCCACCAATGGGCCGGACCAGGTCTGGATATTTACTTTGGGATATGATAAGTTTGTGGAACTAAATGGAATATCAGGAGGATCAAAAACTGGATCCATGTGATGTGAAGAACCCAAAGTATAGCCTAGAGTTCCGTCTTCATGGGGAGGGGGAAACTTTTCACTCTTGCTCTTGGCATTTGCATGTGTTATCAGTCTCCATCTCTGTAATGAAAGTTAAAACCATTACTACTACAGTATTGAGAACTAAAAGTAAGGTATGATATAAACCAACCAATGTATATATCAATGCCACATGATGAAAATTGGCAAAGCTCTTTATTTGATAGTTAGCAGGAAACATAAATACCAAATGCAGATAAAGTAAGCCATAACCATAATAGAAGGTCTTTCATTGGAAGGTTGATTAGCGAACTACCAGACAGGACTATAGGATGAAGTCACAGTGCATTTCATTTCATTTTCAAATTTGTATCACTAAAAGCTGGCCGTGTAATGGAATGTCATTCCTTTCCCCTAAACTTTAAATAAGCCATAGGAAAAAATAATTGAACACTCTCTAACCTGCAGTTTACTATGACATTGAATTGGAAATATCAGGAGACCATATAATCGCAAAAATATTTATAGATTGTACTAAATTTCTCATTAATAGTGAGGTGGCCTTCTGCCCATTACTATTTCCCACATCAGGAGACAAAGAAGCCTAAACTGTTAGTTGTGAATAAAAATTTTTATGCCTACAAGCTAACAGTGAAATATAACAAAGAAGAAAAAACATATGAAGAGACAGGAAGGGGATGAGAAACACATTTCAAAAGTATTTGAGGTAGATGGAACTGAAGATAAAAGTTTCCGGCAATCACTTTTATCAATAAGAACAAAGTATTCATACAGAAAGAAGTTGCATAAATGAATAAGGTGCCTTATATGACATACATCAATATTTGCCTGCAGCTCAGCATTGGCATCTGGAACTGGAATTCCCCTCCCACCCCGATCACGTGGACGAGATTTCTTGACACCATTAGCATTAGCTTTGCTAGCAGCTCTCAATCTATTGTCACGAAACATTAAAATTAATGTATTGAAATGTGTGGATAGTCAATATTTTCTCCAACGAGTATCACTGCCAAGTAGAAAATAAGAGAAAGTACACATGGAGAGGGATAAATAAACAATTTTGTTCAACTTATATGCATGCCTCCAAACTTTTTCTATCAAATAAAGGAGGGAAAAAAAAAAGAAAGGAAGTAAAGTAAATGGCAAAACAACCTAATAAACAAACTTTGTCAATTTTTTATGCAAATAAGAATTCATAAGATAATTTAGAGTTTAGTTTAGCTCAGAAAAATTCCATGTGTGTGTATATATGTATTAGAACAGAGAATATCTTGAGGAAATCATCATTCAGAAGTCAAAAGCAATTTCAGCTATTTACCTTCTAGTTTCTTCATCCCGTAACTTTGCATCCATCTCCTTGCTGGGAGGATATTTTGGAAGGCTGGAGGGTTCACAGGCATAAGGTTTTGTTGTAAAGAACTGCAAACGAGAAGCAATTCACATTAAACTTGGATTTTTATATTAAATTGTTGGAACAGTAAGGATTTCAAGCTTAATTCATCATATCTCATACTAAAAACAACATACAAGCACCAACATATAGCTATTTGTAACTCTATCATTTCCTAGGAGTGACAAGCAACCCTGTGTCTCTTACAATATAGAGTAAAAACAGAAACAGAACACTTTTGTTGTTCAAAAAGACAAGCAAAGAAGAAAACAGATTCAAGTGAAGTTCAGTAATTCATCCATGAATAGGATCAGTAAGTTATTTTATCACCTTTGTCAGACAAAGTTTAACTCAATTCAGGATTTATTGCTTTACAACCTAAGCCCTTGTAATTCAAAACTTACATTACAAGAGTAGAGGAATGTATTCTACAGCAGTAAAAGTCAACAGTTAATGATATATAATGAGCAGCCTCTCAGTTAATCAATGTCAATAAAGGGGGAAGAAAAGGAAGTCATCTAACTATGTTAAGTTGGTCCCAGCTAATAAATGATGAAATTGTTACTCATACTTATTTAATTATGATATAAAATTGGGGGATCAGTAATTCTTTTTTTGGTCTTTGCCCAAGGTATCCCCATGAGTTCCTGTGAGACTAACATATCGAGCACTTAGCAACTAGGGGACTCTCCCAACAAGTGCCTCCTTCTCTAAGGTATGAACTTTGAACCTGACCCTCATAATGTCGCTTGCTTACATATATATATAACACTGGACACGAGAAATAGGTAATTTTACAATAATTTATTATCTTACCTCACTATGCAATGCAGCGGTGGCAGTTTGACGTTCAGCTGGATCAATTGCGAGAAGGGTCTCAATTAATGGCAGGGATGATGCTGGGAAATCCTTAAATGTTTCTGCTATGCACCGTTTGTACGATTGTTGAGGCTTAAAAATAGTAGCATGAGGCAACTTTGACTTTTTCCAATATTCGTCAGAAGGAGAACCACATAGCTTAAATATCTTATGTAACTGTTCCACCTATGAAGCACAGAGGATATTATATCAGCAAAATCAGAAGCACAAACCTCACAAACAAGTTGTAGAAAATCAAGAAACCCAGAGCTACAAAATCTTGCACCATTGACTAGTTAAATGGATACATCTTATGTTCTTGAAAGATGCCCTTAGAGAAACTACAAAATGAAATTAATCATTTAAAGATTACCTCTGTTCTACCAGGCATAATAGGCTTGCCAGCCAACAATTCAGCAAGAATGCAGCCAGCACTCCAGAGGTCCACTCCTACACCATAATCAGTGGCTCCAAGGAGAAGTTCCGGAGGTCGATACCATAAAGTAACCACCCTACTGGTCATAGGGTGCTGGTAATTAGGATCAAAGAAGGAAGCTAATCCAAAATCAGCTATCCTAAGAATTCCTTCATTGTCAACAAGAAGGTTTGACCCTTTTATGTCACGATGCAACACGTGACGGTTGTGACAGTGTTCCAATCCAGAAAATAGCTGATGCATGTAACATTTAACCTAACATGCCCAGATATAATAAGGAAAAGAAGTTCCAAATCCAGAAACAAGATTTTTTTTAATCATAAATTTAAACCAACCCTAGCTCTAGATTTACCCTTGGCAAGTTAAAATATGTCAATACCTGAGACTCTGTGAACTTAATTGTTGGGCTTGTAGCAAGTCCAGCCAAATCATGCTCCATGTATTCAAACACAAGGTACAAACTGCATGACATCCTTGAAGTCACTAAGCCTTCCAGTTTGACAACATTGGGATGATCAAGACGACGCAGAATAAGGATCTCTCTGGCCATGAATTTCACACTCTCGGGCTCTAAATTGTCAAAGCGAACCTTCTTTAAGGCTACAATTTTCCCTGTCAAAGTATCCTTTGCTTTGTAAACATTGCTATATGTACCTTGTCCAATCTGATTGAAAAATAGTCAAAAAGTCAGTGAGAGATCAAATCTTTGTCTGTTAACTCTACAAGAACAGAACAGAAGCAGGCATTTTAATGGAAAAGTTTCCAATTAATAACATCCAAGGGACCATGATAACAGAAAACCCCAAGTTACAATGTCTTAACTTGATACTACTAATTTTAGATGTTGCTTTCATTTGAAAACGAAACAACAACATAAGCAATAAGTTCTTTAAATTCTTTGAAATGAAGATAAATTAGTTCCACATACTTAATCTGGCAACAAAAACAAAGTAGGCATTAACTGCCTTACCTTGTTAAGCTTCTCAAAAGTGTCAGCTCTTCGAGGGGTCAATCCATTTATAGCTTCCCCAGCTACCTTGGAGAGCCAAGAGGGCCACCCTGCAGCCACTTGCTCACCATGTACATTGTTAGGAGGATTGCTTAACCTCGGATTCGGCTTTGAAGATCGCCTTTTCTCCCCCTTTGGCCTCTTGCTCTTCCCCTCCTCTCCACCCTCCTTCCCATTCCCACCATTTTCAACCTCACCATCTACTTCTCTTCCAACTTCCACTTCTTCCTTCCTCTCTTCCCTCCTTCTCTCTGATGCCTCTTTCTCTTTCCCAAACACACACCCCATGTCTCAAAATACTCTTTACTCAACCTCAACCCCTCCTTTTCTTCTTCTCCTTCCTCACATTCTCTTACTTGCCATACCCACAACCACAGTTTCCCTCATTTTCTTGCCATTCAAACACAACGCAGCACATCAGAATCAAACCCTAATAATAGTTCCCCCCACCAATCTTAAAAAGCTGAAAGGGGGGGGTTTAATCAAAGGAATGTGCAAATGCTAATTCAAAAGACCCTAACTTTTCCAGACAAAAGTAAAAGGGTAATGATTTGGAGTCACCCCACAAATTGTGGTGCAGTCAAAGAAAATGAACTTATATCAGTCAGACATGCACAACATAAAAGAAAAGCAGAAAAATAAAATAAAAATAAAACAACATATGGCTATCTTTTTTCCCCCCTTGTGAAGTTCCTTTGTTCTTGCTGTTCCTACAATAATGTTTTTATTGTTTTAGGAAATGGATTTTTCCTTTTAAACCCTTTTGGAGTGAGGATATGAATGTGGAGGAAGATCAAAGTTGAAAACAGTTACAGTTGTGGGAGGTGGGGGCATAGCATATCAGATTCAAAGATTTATGTACACAAAATAATGTCTTAGAAACAAGAGAGATAAAATAATAATGTGGGAGGGTGGGGTGGATCTCCTATGCCTTTTCCCACTTCCACTCTTACACATGCCATGTTGTCTACATAAAATCCACTGAGGAAACTTCCATGGAAAATATATAGACACCGATGAAGGTCACGTGCATGGAGATATTTCTTAATTATTATAAAAAAAAATTGATTATGATATGATATTTACTTCTTCTTTTTAATGTTTTTTAGTCTTTAAACTTTATGGTCTAACTAAAAATTAATATCTGACATTCAAATTAAAAATAAAGTTTAAAGAAAAAAATAGCAACTATATCTTGAAAAAAATTTATAAAACTTAAATTTAAATTATACAACTTTATCATGCATTGATCATACTGAAAATTGTTTGATTTTAATATGCCAAAAACATAGTAAGTTGAGTTGGTAGAATGGTATTGGTAGGAGAGGTCCTACATGCTATTGCATAAATTATTATTTAATATTTTTTTTAAAACCGCTTTCTAGCCTATTGATGCATTCTTGGCTAATAACTTGCACTGCTCTGACTTTTTATTTGAGAAAATTGACCGTTCATATAGCAAGTGAACAAAAACTCAATTTGAAAATTGGAAGGGAAACAGAACAGCTATCCTTCCACAATATTTATTTAAGAAAGTAACGGATTATAATTTTAATTGACACGTAACAACAAAAATACCAAAAACACAAGAAGAAAAGTACTAAAAATATTATTAAAAATTTCGCTTAAATTCTTTTGATTTGTTTAATGTGCATTTTATCGTGAAAGAAGACAGTTGGCTTGTGTTGATTTGGTCTTTTGTCATTGGTAATGAATACCTACTTTATTGCATTTTTCGACAGGTTTGGACCTTTTGTTTCTGCTGACAGTCCAGTAGGGATATTGCTTTCTGGACCCAAATCGGATTGTCGGGTATGCCTATATCTTTATACATTTTCAATAAATTATTAATTTTTTAATATATATAATTAATTCATAAAACTTGAGTGTAGATAAATAAAAACATATAATTAATTTAAAATTAAACAATTCAGTAAAAAAGGTGAAAATATAATGAAGAAGGTTTGATAGCAGCAATTGAGGGATCCAGCAATTAAGGAACAAAGCAATTATGGGGTGCATGGCAATGGCATAAGATTTTGGGGCAGTTTTCTCTGCCACGCTTGTTCAGTGGATAAAATCATAACAAAGATGGGCATGGAAGATTTTTTGTTTTACAATGTCGCAGGGCACTATCTTCTCCGTAATGGATTAACACGTTGAAGCAACATAGGACAGCTACAAGAAACCAAGGTTGTTAATCTTAAATTGACCCTTCACAGATTCAATTGTCCCCTTCAGTATCATGAGATACATTAGACAACAACGTAGCTGTTCTTGAATCGAAAATGTACCAAGTACTATTATATTATGATTGTGACGCTACGCACACCTACGCTTAGTTGTTCCCCATTACAGAGTTAACTTCATCTTTTTATGTGATTTCGTCACTCTTCCTCTCTTCTTTGGTGCATAATTTATATTATATTGTTATTTGTCAAAGATTTGTGTATACTATCTTTCGAATAAAACCATAGGTTGAGATATATTATGGATATTTGTATTTTTATGATAATTTAATTTTTTTAAAGATGACATAATTTAATAAAAAAATTTCCAATTGATACAAAAATTAACGCATGATAACTTTTTAATTAATCGTGTTATTAAATTCACACAAAAAAAGCATTACAACAGTTTAAGAATTTTTTAATCATCGAATGATATTGAAGTTATGTGAAGTAGTTGATGCTACCAAATTTAGTGGTATTTATCTAAGAACTACGGTCCTTTTTACTTTATTTCAGGCTACAAAGAAAGGGTAGTTTGGGAGTTTCTCAAGACTGCTAGAAAAACAGTTTTTCTAACGTACTTTATATTATTATCTAAAATTTATTAAAAATTATTAATTAATGAATAAGAAAGGTAAAATTTATATAATTTTTGTAATTTTTAATAACTTTTAATTAATAATAAAAATTGTATTAAAAATATTAGGATAATGTTATGGTTAGTAAGAAAGTTTTTAATGAACTACTTTTTGGGGTATTACCTATATGCGTTCAGATTTCCAAATTTTTAAAGTACATAATATCTTACAAGGATGCATCTCACTACATGTAGAATGAACAGCAAAACTATAATTAACATTATTTTTAAGAGGTAGATGACCAATAGAGAAGATAGATGTGCCTTCACGCTTCTTCTTCGCCACAACAAAAATCAAGTTCATAAACTTTATAAATTAAATCAAATTTGAAGAATATATCTTCATTTATTTTATTTGTCTCTCAAATAATCATGAAATTGAATAAATGTAATTAGAAGATATTAATATACAATTCAATTTTGAACTATGATTATTACATGCAACAGTAAATAAAATAATACATCAATGTCCAGCCATTAAGATGCTTTTTTTTTTAATTAAATTTTTAACTTTAAATCTTGCGAATTAAAAAATGATACTGAAAGTTTTTACTTCCTTAAACAGGTTCATCGAAACTCAGTCGAATTTCTTAAGGTTTAATATAACTTTTAAATATTAAATATTTTATAAAGAAATAAAGCAATATAGAATACTTATAGTACAAAACAGATAAAATAATATGATATTAATCTATTCTATATCACTTCGCATATTTATATGTAGGGTGATAAGACACAAACAACAATAATTAGTTTTAAATGATTAAAATGTGCAGGTCAATGATATAAATTTAACTAGTTTTTTTAGATAGACAAATTCAACTCATTTATATAAATAAAAAAATAAAATTTAATCATTTTCCATAATTTAAATCTGAATTTTATATTCAATTCAATTTATTTATACAGTAACATTTTTGCAATGACGTTTATACAGTCATTTTATATCAATGATTTTTTTATATTATAAAATTTTATTAAATTGATAACCTTTATAATACAATGATAATAGCTTACGTGAATGAAGGTTGATAAAAAAGTGTATTGTTATTTTTTTTCTTTAATAAATAACAAAATTTAGACTGAGAATTTAGATAAAGAGGGTAAGAAAGGTATTGAAAAAAAATAAGAAAAGGAGGATAATAGAGAACGAAAAAGGTTAATTTTTTATTTATTTAGACATTTAATATAAGAAAGGAATAAAGGAAGGTAAGAAGAGTTTAATTATATAAATAATATTATTATATTTTGTATTTTTTATTTAAAAATAATCATATTTTAATTTTTTTAAAAATTAATATTTAAAATTAATTTTTTTATTTTTTATAATTTTTAAAAAAATTCACTTGAAAAAATAATATTTTAAAAATAAAATATTAAAATCCTAATTGTAAAAGTGCAAAGAAAAGATCTTTAGAAATTTTTAAAATTTGAAGAATTTAATAAATTAGCTTTAGGAGGGATTTAAAGAATTTAAAAAAAGATTGTATCCTCTCATTTTCAAGCGTAAATATGAAAACATTAGTTTTATGAAGGATTTAAAGGATTTAGAAAAGGATTCGTATCCTTGCATTTTTAAGTGCAAACATAATTTTCATGTTATTGTATTTTTATATTTTTACTCAAGTACAAATACAAAAAGTGCAGAACATGAAAATCATGTAACAAGAGATAATTATTTTTCTTTAAAAAGATCTTCTAAACTTTTCTCCTCCTAATTAAGTAACTCCCAAATAAGAATTAAGTCATTTAATCCTTCTTTTTTGCTTTTAAACATAACTCACAAATACAATCATAGAAAATAATATAAATTTATCAATGTAATGTATAAAAAGTTAGTTGAAATTTGACAAATATCATTTTTTTTTTCGTATCATTGGCAATGTAATTGTCAAATACAACTAAAAATTAGTGTTATAAATCTAAGACAAATTAATAACTGGATTTCATACCAAGTTATCAATTGTTAGAAATTGAACATACAATTAATTAAATAAAATAATTTATTAACTTTAACTTTTAAAATAAAGATAAACGGCTAATAATAGTAAAATTTTATTATAAAAAAATATTTATTATATTTTTATAATTTTAATATAATAATTATATATTTTTTTATAATTTTTTTTATTTATAAATATTTAAACTCAACTTAAAAGATGATGCTAACAAAATTCTTAAATAAATATTAAATTGTGTACATAAACAGTTGAACCGGCCGGTTCGAGTGATTCACATAATTGCCGTTTTTAAACGATTTTTCGGAGTTTTTCTGGGCTGCGCCGGTTCACTTGCATGTCCTTTTGCAAAATGCAAAAAGAAAAACTTGATTCTATCCCCATCTTCACTTCACTTCCCCAGGATGTTGTCTTCAAGATCGCTTCGCTGCTTCAGGTTAGAATTTCTAAACCTCTTTATCATTGTATTGTGATTACGAATTTCATTCCTTGCACGTGAAAGCTTCGATTTTTCTTGACCCTTTTGTACTGTTTTTCGTTTGGTGCAAAAAAAGGTGCGGGATTTGTGTGCCTTGGGTTGTTGTTCGAGGTTCTGGAGGGAACACTGCTTCTCAGATTGCATTTGGGAGTCTCTTGTCAGAAACAGATGGCCCTTACTCTCTTCCTTCAATTTCCCTTCTTCTTCCACTCGCTTTCCCAATTTCAAGGTATCGTTTTCACACACACACACACACACACACACACACACATATATATATATATATATATATATATATATATATATATATATATTATATTATATTTGAAGAGTATTTGGTACCTTGTTGGTAGTTGGATATATATTAATTGTTTGTTAGGAATTTGAAAATTGGGTTGTAGAAATGGTGGAAATTGTACCTGGAGAGGCACGTGGAGTTGGGAGTTAGAGCAAGGTCTGTTGAGAAGTTTTTGGAAGCTTGTTCACTTTGTGAACCACTTGAGGTTGGCGACTATCTGAAAGCTGTTAGCACCTTGATTGGTGCCAAGTTTGGTTTTGAAGATGTCCAGAGGTTCCTGTTCAACCCTCAGATGAATGTGCTGCTTAACTTGGTTGGTGTACACTATTGCCTCACAAACCTTGGGATTCGGGTATTCTACTTCTATTCTTGTCCACCCTGTTTTGCTTTGTTTTGTTGCCAGTTTAACTAGGAACTCATTGTTGAGATCCCTCGTATTTTTGTTTCCTTTCAAAAGGCAATTTCTCCATAGTTTAACTTGGTGTCGGTTGGTGACAATTGGGATAATTATGATGCATGGGTTTATCAAACTCTGTCTTGGGCATAGTGGCTATAGTATACATGCTATTGTTGCTTTACTTTTATTTGCTGCTGGGCTGCAGGTCGAAAACATGATTACCATTCGAAATATGGTTTGACATTTGCCGACTGAGAATCTGAAAAGATGTTTCATCACATGTAACTGAGTTTATCTGACTAACTTTTGTCCCGAGCTCCTTATGTATGTTTATTTTTAGTTACATTTTGTTATGGCAGTCACTTGTTTATCTCCATTATGCTTCAACTTTTTCATAGCTATTCATTATCTTCAGTCAATCAAATAAAATATATTTTGGTCAGTTTTATGTAGGATAAATTGTCGTAAGCCTAAAAATCACGACTAAAAAAAATCCCCGTGACACATGCTCAAAATTACTTCTTGTATGTGTACACACACGTCATGTTTCTTGAAAATAAGATAACATGCCATCCAACACCACCTAAACTTTTGTCATTCGTCACTTTGTTCCCAAGTTTGCATCTTGAATGCTTTAGAAATAAGTTGTATATTTTCATCCTTTACCTGTTTCCTTTTCCTTTGAATATCATTCCTATCCTTTATTCTTTGATCATTAGAGAAATATGAGAAACAAATTAGGATAAAGTGAACCATGATCTGTAGTATACATTTTCCAACTTCTTTTTTCCTGTTCCCTAGAATGCTTTACGATGAACTTGTTATATAAAAATAAAATAGGACTGTGCATTGAATATTTAATTGTACAGGTGTCTGCCTCATAATTATATAGATTACATTCTGGGAACTAAAAGTAGGTAAACAAGTGGATCAAGTTATGTAGATGCCGGATTGATGTAAATTGGTTTTCCTGTTCTCAGTTAGTCATTTAACACTTTGAGTATTCAGCCTTAATGATGGGAAGCATATGTAACATTTTGAAGGACAATACCAGTGGTATGTATTTGATATGTAATTGTCGTCACTGGCAGGGTGATAATCTTATAGAAGTCCTTCGGACTCATGAGATCTCAGAACGGCGTGTATGCATCAAGTGGTGGAAACTTGGTAGATGGTTCTATGGCTTCCGAATGAGGGACGAGCCACATTCTCGTTGGATTTCTTTGGCAGATTTGGCAACAGAACATGATGAGCAGATTTTGGGAGTGCTTCGCCGGGGTACTATTCATGAGGTTTTAGTTGTTCAGATTTCTGCTGTTGGTCGTACATCATAACATTGGTCCTGACTGGTTTCCCAGAGACTGGAATAGTCACAGGGAGCTCACATATAGTATCAAATTATTAACGTGTATAGTTATTGATTTCAAAATTCCTCTGTAATAATACATGTGCAGTATGTCATTTAAATATATGACAATAATCCAAGTTCAGAAAACCTATTATCTTATTCACATGGCATATTTGAGCTCCTTATCTTATTGTATATAACTGAGACTTAACTAGCTTGATTTTTGGCTGCACAACATTAAATGAAAAGAAGGCATGAAGGTTTTGGTGATGAAGGTTTTGGTGATGTTACTTGCGAATATAGGAATTTTCTTGTTGCATACACATAATACATTACACCTTTCACGTGAATGATTCCCAAGCTTATAGTGACCACTGACCACAAAACCTGCACTTTTAAGTGCTGCGGCATCTCTTATATCTACTGTTAACAATTTCTCTTCGTCCTTGGTTATTAGCTTTTAGAAAGTGTCCTTTCAAATTGTTTTATTCGCAGTGTCAAATGACATGGCTTTTGTAGGGAAAATGCTTATTCCGTGGTTAAAAAATATTTAATCCTCAATAATTCTAGCATTGGCTTCCAATTCCAATAACTTCAATATGCATCAATAACACGGACACATGGCCTTCTAGCTTCATGCACCAACGTTTTCCAGCAAGTCTGCTATACACTCTAGATGCCTACTTGAAAATGAAAATATGTTTTAACCGCACTTACATTTCTGCTGAGAAGTGGCAAAAGTTATAGCATGTTGATGTTGAAAGGTGATGCTGGATTGTTTTCATATCATTTAAAATTGACATTTTATTTTTCAAACTTAAAAATAGTGGCTGGTTCACTCTTTGATTCTTGATTTTTCTTTAATAATAAATCTGTTTAAGATTGGGATTTCAAAAAGTGAACGGAGTGGATAGTCGCTTACACAAAAAACCGCACAAAACATGCAATGATTACACTATTACAGTGCAAATCATCTATTTTTATGAGTTGATTATTTGTTACATTTACTTTTTATGATAGCATAATTGATAGTTACACAATAATTTATGGCACAGATGTCATGTAAAACACAACTCAGGTCCTTGGGAGGAAAACACTGATTTACAAAAAAATAATTAACACCACTGAAGCAACACATAAAGTCATTTACACACTCTTAACAATTACTTGACACACTGACTGAGACTACATAAGAAGTTGAGTGAATGTGTACGTAGAATGATCCATGTTCCTTCAACCTACTTAGGAACTCGGCTATGAATGCTGTAAGCTGAAAGCCAAATTAACAAGACCGTGACAATGCTGCCAAACAAACCCACTGCCAGGGAGCCAGCAATATGCTTACAGAACTTGTCATAAACATTGCAAATTTTATGCCAACCCACATGGTTGTTTCCTTTCAAACCTACATATGCCACACCCGCAGCTGTGCCTGTTGCTGAGGCTATTATCCCTAATATCAACTGCAAAGAATCATGGTAATTTATTCATTAGGTATTCTTTGCTATATGTAAACTAGCAAGTGAATTGAGAAGATGAATAGTAAAGTAAAAATTAAAAGGAAGTTCTATTGATTAATTACCACATCCCATAAGAGAAAATGGAGGAGGAACTTGATTTTGAGGGCTGGCGTTTTTATTACAAAGATTGAAGCGAGAGTTGTAATGATACCATAAAGGCCAGACACGGAGAATGCAGCCACAAAATATCTGCATGCATGTATATCACACGATATATAATTAATTGCAAATCAACATTAACCAGTAATATTGAAAAAACTTGTTTGAAAATAAAAGGTACCAGTGAGAATAAGGCATTATAGTAAATTAATAAATATATGTAAATGGAAGACTTTGGATATTTAAATAAATAAATAACAAGAAGGAATGCTATGACGTCAGAAAAATAGAACAGAGCAAAAAAACTCGTCTTTAAGTAAAGCCATCATGTATGACTTTGTCTCCTTATAGCCTTCAAAGGGAGTTTTTGGCTTGCAACTTGTCAAGTTTTAGATGCTTCAGCAACAAACAAGTCTAAAAAAAAAGAATACGTGAAATGTTATCACGATACTCTTTTAACACATTTTCTGTAATACATTTATTATTATTATTATTATTTAAAATTTATTAAAAACAATAAAAATTATGTGTTTTTTACTCTTAATATTTTTTTATACTTTTTAATTTTTTTATAAATTTTAATCAATAGAAAAAATGTGTTAAAAAAATATGTTGTTAACATTTTAATAGAAAATAGTTAAGGCTTACGAAGGATGACGGTTTGAAAATTTCATGCATGTTCACAAGTTCAAAAACATCAAATTTTCTCCCTGGGAAGCTCTTTATATTGATATATTAAGCGAACAGCGGTTTGAAATTTCATGCATGTTCACAATTTTAAAAAACATCAATAATCCCCCGGGAAACTTTTTATATTGAATATCGATGTATTTAATACAAACAAAATTAATATCGAAAATAATAATTAAAAAGAAAATAATAGAGAAAGCTAAATCCTCAAATGGGAAATAATTCATACGTAGCGTTGGGTTCTTCTTTTGAAACCAACCCCATCTAACCGCTGAGACATTGGAACCTATATCTATCTTTTTGTCTCCTACGACAGAGATATAAGTAAACTTTATTAACTTGTATCTAGCAGTTTCATTAGCGGCAAACATAAGCACAAAATATGATACTCCCACACCCCTGGTTGGAAAGGTTGGTAAGCTCAATATTCAAATAAATTTTTATCATTGATTCCTCATGATAAGAAATGTCATTTGATGCTACATGTTGCAAACAACTATACAATAAGCATGCACATATGTAGCAAAACAGTTAAAGCATTTGTTTTTTGCTTAAAAAAAATAGACAAGCGTGATAAATGTAGTAAATCTGCTAAAAATTTGAATAACTCTAACTTACACAAAGGCGGGTGAGTATCTGAACTTGGCTGGCCGTGGCACAGGAAAACCTTCTGTTTGATTACCAGTGACCATCACCACAACTGCCACCAATGATGCTGCAAACAAAAGAAACCTTAATATGACATCAAAGATAAAGTAATCAACACCAGCAGGAGCTGGAGTTGAAGACGTTTTGTACTCAGGATCCCCAGGCTTGTCTGTAGAAGCCATGTTTTTCTTTGCAAGGTAACTTGTTAAATTGGTTTTATTAGTGGCAGGTACTGATAGTAAACTTAGTGGTTAACGTGAAATAGAGGGGTGGGAAGATAAGGATAGTCGAACAATGATGTTATGCAAATATATATAGATAGATTAGGACTTGAGGGAAAGGTAATGGAACCAGAAAGATGTAAAAACAAATGAGTTGGAGTTTCCTGCACGCTAGAGTTAGTTTGAACAGTTTTTTGTAAGTTGGTGTGTATGTAATGAGCCTCACAGCTAATAGTCTATATTATGCTAGAATATTTTATATGCAAAATCTCAAGGTTTACAAGGAAAATTAATATAAGAATATTTGTCATGCTTAATTTCAAGGTTCACACTTTAGACAAAAGATATTTTTGGTTGCCAGCTCAATAACTTGGTTGTTGTAATAATCTTGGATTCGGATATGGGTGTCAATATGATATATGGGAATGGGACCAGAGGTAGAGACATTAAGTGTTACATCCATGACCATGACTAAACTCATGGCCCTGCCTCTTTAAAAACGTTCCTTGTAGTGCTTTTCTAGCTCCGTTGGTAACTTCTCTGGTTGGAGGATAAGACTACGTGGCATTGATGTAGAATATTATTAAACAATCATAAGTTGATTTTCCCCCTTATCATGATTGAATGAATTTCGGGAATTAAAGTTGTAGTTTGTGGAATAGAAGTCCAGAGAAATATAGAAGACCAAATATAAGAAATATGTATATAAACACATTATATTATATTAATCTTTGCACGTCATATTTTTATACTAGTTTCTCTTTTCATTTTCATGTGCACTTATATTAATTAATGACTACTTAAAAATATAGAATTTGTAGTTTTCCATGTTTTTGTTTTTGGCGTTTTGTGTGACATGAAATATACAAATAATTATCGTTTTGAGTAAGAGTTATCATAAACAAGAAAAATTTTAATTTTAGTTTAAAAGGAAGAAATGGAATATTTGTGACAAAAAAATTAGTAATAAATATATGTATTTTGGTCATATAAGTATTAAGAGAATTTGTTTAGAAAAATACTTTTAAAGTATAATTAATTTAAGAAATAAACAAGCATGCACTAATTCTCCAATTTTTTGTTGCACAATTTGAGATAAACTAAATGTCATTTTGGCTTTGTGTTGCCCGACAAGAAGGGGTGGGATTATTGGTGTTTTTATTTTATTTTATTCCTTTATGATAAAATAATACACTTTAAAGGATAAAGTGTGATTGCATTCATTAAAAAAAAACATTTAAGATTGTAATAAAATAGAAATATACGTATGACAAACTTTAAAGTTGTTACAATGAAGTGTTAATTTTTTAATTAATGATGCAACTATTCTTAATATGTGAGGAGTTAAATATGTTTTATAAAACTATTTATGGATAATTTCAAACATAATATAGAGAGGATCAGATAATTACTTTGATTTCAAGGTTCAATCTTACTTCAAAGTTTTCAATTGAAAATAACCAAAGGTCAAGGAAGATGTATAACTATCTTAACTGCGTGTATACATATTCTTTGCATCTTCAATTTCGGTTTGAATATAAAAACTTAGGAAAATGGTTTTACAAACGTATTAACATATATGCATCACAGAGCGGTATTGGGTTATATGCATGGCTAAATTCAATTGGACAATATAATCTCAACTCTATTACTATCAAGTAGTCATGTATATCCGATAAATTGCGTGTGGCTGCTCCACATTCTAGAAGCTTTTTCTTTTTTCCTTTGCATTATTTCTACGCAAATGTGGGATACTGCACTCTTTTGCTTAATTTTATTAGTACCTTTTAATTTGATTGTTCTTATATTTTATGTTTAATATAATCCCACTTATTGAAATGATGTGACCTATCGCCCCAGCAAAAGAAAGAATCCAATAATATGTTCAATCAATCACGCTTAATTTTATGTGAAACATCGTAACCTAACAAAAGCTAATGATGATGCTTCCTATTGTGTGATTTACCAGGCTATATATCAATCTTTTATGGGTCTTTAAATATGTACAGAAAAAGAAAGACAGAAAAAAAAGAGGGTAACCGGATTACACATTGGTCTAAAGAAAGTGAAAAAGAATAAAAGAATCTTCCTTTTCTTCTGTCAAATTTTCTTTTCTTTTCGTTGTTTATAAATTTGCATTCAAGTTCAATTTTGTTAATATTTGAGTTGGCTAACTTTTGGATTCAAATTAATAAAGACTACTATTCTTTAGCGCACTATTTGTAGACTTTCAAAACAAAATTCAACCGCCAAGAAAGAACCAAAGGATTATATATGTATGAATATGAGAGACTTTTCCAACAGAACCTTCGTGAATTATATTCAATTATCCGTAGTGCAAATCAAGAAAATTGATGAATGTCGTATGAATAACGTCACGGTGGCATAAGTTCTATCTTCAACACATATATATGTGACATGTATATTGGTCTTAATCACAGTTGAACGACAAAGCAATTGAATTGAACAAGTGGGTTTGGTCATATCAGCCAAATGACCAAGTCTTATCCTAAAATAATCATTTGATAGGCAAGAAAGCTGACCGGGAATTTATACTAATTAACATTAATTTGGTTGAAAATTCGGGTTAAATAGCTGCAGAAGAAAGGGAAAAGAAAAATATTTATTTGCATATAGATTGACAATCGCTCTCAGAGTCAAATGTGTATCTTCTATACTTCTCTCTTCGGGTTCCATTTTTGCTAGATTTTTGGGGCCTCAATGCTTATAGTCAAAGGCTAATTCAATTATTAACATGACTTTTGGATTCTGTTTTGGTAGGTTAGAGTGATCAATTATGGACCCCGGAAACTAATTAAAATTAGTTGAGCTTCTTAGTCTTCAACGGTCATATACTGGAGTTTCGTGAAGATTAAAAGTTTGTCACATTTAGTTGTATCCTTAAAGAACACAATTGGTGTGATGTGAATAATTGGTGGAAAATCATATTAAAAAATAATTTTGAGAAAATAGGTCACACAGATGTTAATATTTGCATTTGGAAAATAAAATAAAATTTTTGCGGTAGTATATATTATAGAACTGTTTTAAAATAACACTTTTAAATACTTAAAAAAATCGTCTTCAACTTACGTATTGCAGACAAAAAAAAGCCATGCAGAAAAAATACTTTAGTACATCATGTTGCAGCACAAGGGAGAAAGAAAATTCAACCTTTCTTAGTTATTGATTAATGTTTATCATTGTATTCTATTGTATTACAAATATTAATGGATGATTAACGCGTGACTGTTTTTTCTCAGTCACTGTTTAATATGTATACTTTAATCTTTATTAAAAAAAAGTCAGATTAGACTATTTAAACTGAAGTTATTACGAACAATGCAACACACATTAAAACATGGGAACACTCTCAATATTATAACTTGATTAGCAGAGTCTAATAAATCTAGTCTCGGACAGGACTCGTGGTTGAATAAGTTTGAGAAGAAACCTAAATATTGAGTCTAGACATAAAGTGAAGAAACTTCATATTACTTTTCTGTACTCTTTACTTAGATATTTGTTACATGAAGGTTATCTGCCTTCGTAAAAATTGTGCCAAATTATTCTTGTTATTTAATTTTTATTTTTATTATTAAAAATATTTATTTTTACACGACCTAGCCTTTAAGGTGTTGGTTGGATGAGATGATTTTGTGAAAAAAGAAATTAGGAGAAATTATTTTGTATTTATTTTTAAAGTTTGGATGATTTATCTTTTTGTGGGCAAAAAGAAAAGGGAGGGGTGGATCTCACAAGTTTTTACCCTTCTTATCTTTTATTTTAATGTTAAAATATTAATAAATATTGAGGAAAAATATTAAAATAAATTATTGTCATAATAATAAATGTTATATTAGAAAGAAATATATTTTTTCATTCTATTATTTTTATTTATTTTTTATTTCATCTTATCATCTAAATGAACTTTAAAATGATAGGGTTGGGCTAAGGTTTAAACCGACATTGTCCAAAGCCCAACCCCAACTAATGAACAGCTACCGAAAGCCTTCCACGACGGACAAATATTTTACATGGTAATATATACCACTAAGTCTCATAAAACATGTGAATTTTAGGATTTTATTTTCATTTTGTTATGTTTTACTTTTTAGGATTATTAAGTTTATTTAACTTAAATCTATGAACTTTGTATCTGAAAAGAAAAAATTAACTGCTTGTATTGGGTAGAGCAAAACATAAAATCTTGCCCATATCTCATATCCACTCATCATCATAAATGCATGTGATTAAAATTCTCTTAGAAAAGTAATGAGATTGCAACCTTACTTGCGTTGACGAATCAAACTTGCCACCATGTAATTAGCCATATCAAATTTGTGGAGCTCAATTTATGATCCTTCAAACGCGCTTTTATTGTTTGGTTGATCAGTTGTTTTCGCCTTCGCTGGCATGCCATGTATTGCCTAGCAACTATCAAGTGGGTGTTTATAAAAAGGAAAATATGACGTAACTTTAATTAATCTGTCTTAATTTGTTTAAAACAACACAATCAGCACTTAAATATAAAATATCTATATTAACAATTTTTTTATTTAATAATTAGAAAGATTAATACAAATGAGAGATTTTTATTTTAAAAAGACAATTTTTTTAAAGACAGGTCATTGTCAACAACACTACGCTTAAATATAGTGTGTCACCAAGATTTCGTATCGTACATATTTTTCTCCTTGAGTTATGCAACCCCATCACCTTCATTTTAAATTAAATCAATCATTTAAGTAGTTGAAAAACTATTTAAATCCATCTTGAACTTGTCTCTCATGTGGCCACATAATTCTAAAACGGATTTTTAATTTGTGTCTAACACATACAATATATATAACAGTATTTAGTAACCACAAAATTATTTTTTTCATAATAATTTTGAACGATTTGACTTAGAATAATAAAAGATGTTACATCGACGAATCACGCGCATTATTTGGCCGTGCCTTATGGTTGGCAAGTGGAAATTGTTTCTGAAGCGTTCATATTAGTTGCCGACTCTCCGATCCTAATTATTACTTCTCCACACCTGTCCTAGCTACTATATTTATTTTCAATTATTCAAGAATACAATTACAAATCTATGTAATTGTTTAAATGATATATTATTAGATAAGGGTATTGTTTTAAATTATTAATATTTTTAAATTTTTAATTAGTAATTGAAAAAAAATGTACTATTTCAAGGCCATTATTAATTAACTTGATTATTATAATATTCATGTCAATAAAGGTGTCTTTCAAAATAATCATTAATATTTTAAATCGATAAATAATTTTATAATACAATGAAAACAATTAATGATTTTTGTCATGTTCTTTCGACTTGAATGCTTTTTCACATTAGAGATATGTGGGCCAAACCTTCCCTCGCATTTCCTCACATATCAGAAACATTACAATATAAGTCAAAACGTGACAAAAAAATTAATAGAACTTAGCTACATTTAAATATATAAGTGTGGACCATTGAACGAAATAAATTGATATATAGTCATCACTTTCACCTACTTATATTCAAAGAAATTTCTATTAAAATACCATAAGTTAGTAAGAAAAATGACTTAATCCAAAGTTTATCATCACCCCTAAAAATCCGAACTCTGAATAGATTTACATGTAAAAAAATATCTGGGTATATACTATTTAATAATACCTAATATTGCCAAAGTTCCCTTTCCCACTGCCTTGAAATTACAGCATAAATAAAAAGCAGTGTTCATAAGGTTCACGAGTATTTAAGTCATCTGATGGCCCTTTTGTGAACGCCCCATATTTGAGCTTGAGAGACAGAAAGATATTGCAATCTTATCGTTAGAATAATGGAGGGTGATGAGTATAAGGGAAACAGCTATGTGATGGAAGGGGGTGAGAGCAAAGAAACAGAATTGGTGGTGGCTAAATCTTCATCAGCTCCTTTGGGTGCTTTTGATTTGCTTATGAGGCTCTTGGCTTTGACACTCACACTTGCAGCTGCTATAGTTATTGGGTTGGATAAGCAGACAAAGGTTGTTCCCATCTCGCTTGTGGATTCTTTGCCCCCTTTTAATGTTCCTGTTTCTGCTAAGTGGCACTACATGTCTGCCATTGTGTAAGTTCTCTCTACTTCTCTTCCTAAACCTTCACTTTCTTTCCATTTTTTAAGACATTTAGTGGTACGAAATCATTACTCATATTCTGATCTTAGTAAGAAACAGGTTTTATTTATTTATTTACTTAAATGTGTTTTTAATATCTTATATTATTATGTGATAGTTTTTATGTTAAGTATTACGTTAATAAAGATACTAGAATTAAAAAAAATGTAAAAAATTAAATATAGTGTACTTTGAAGAATCAAACACCTTTTTTCTCTTTTATTCACTGATTTATTAACATGTAATCAAGCATATTTCATCAGAATCACCCTTGGCATTCATATTCATATGAGTTTATTTAGTCAGTTAAACCTACTTTTTTACAGTGCACTTTCCCCCCTTATTTACAAGACTTGAAATTAAAGTATTCTTCAAAGAAAATAATCAAACTCTTCAATACTTGAATCGTCAAACAATGGTAAAATTCTATCATGTAACTAAACTGACAACGTCAACTTGCAAACGTTCATTACATGTGACGCTTACAAGTCAAATTGTAAATTATTATTGGAAGATGTCATAAGTAATATGATAATTATATATATATATTAGCATTAAGGAGGTATGAAAGATTTTGTAATTTGATTTTGATTTATAATTGTTTAATAACAAAAATAATCACGTTTTATTTTACTTTTAAACACAAATATATATTAAAATAACAGCAGTCTTATTTAAAAATTATAAATACATATTATTTCAATTTTAACTTTATAATAGCAGATAAATGCAAATTAAATTTAGTTATAGTTTTTCATCTTGATTAGCAATATGGCGGCTCTAAACGTTAATTTGTTAAAATGTAATGTATTGCTAAATTAAACCCTGTTAATCTTAAAATTATTGGTTAAAAAGTAATTAATAGAATTGATTAAACACATTAAATTTTATGTTTTTGATATAGTATTTTTTCACTTTTATTTTTTAATTGATATTCCCAAACTTTCAGTTCATTTTTGTTTTAATTTAAGGATAGAATCAATTCTAAAGATATTAATTAAAAAATTATTTAAATATATTATGAAATTTGTGTATAAAAAATTACTTTTATTTGTTAGGTTTTGTTAAAAATTAAGAATAAGCAGTTAATAATAATAAAATTTTATTAAAAAAGTATTTATTATATTTTTATAATTTTAATACAATATAAATATATTTTTTATAAAAAAATTATATTTTTTTAACTTGAAATAATAAAAGTGTTAAGTAAAATTTTGCGTAATTTAATATATGCTTGACAGCTTCTCATCTGCTCTTTTAATGCAAGCATTTATGGCTGTACTCGCTGTCGCGGATTGACTTTATACAAGTCATGTTTACATGAAGAGAAATGCTTTTAAGATATAATTTTTTAATAGAATTATTTGAACAGAATTTTTAATATACGTTTTTTGATTAATTATTTTTAAAAATAATAAAATTATTATTTTATAGATTAATCATTTTTATCATAAAATTAAATTTTTAAAATATATTTAAAAAATAGGTTGTTAGCATTTTTTTTATCTTCTTCCATAACTTTGAAAATAAAAACCCAACGAAAGAATGAAATAGAAAGGATAAATTTTTCTTATTTGATAAAAGAAAAACAAGCATAAAGTAAATAAGAAAAGAGATTGTTTCCTTTTTAATTTTTATTGTTTATGTAGAAAGGAAGAGAGAGAAATAGTTTTTACATTTAAAAAAAAATAAGCTTATTCTTATTCGTAGCTCCACATTTTCAATAAAGGCATAATTATTTAATAAATATATATATTCATACTAAATAACTCCTAAATATTTTATAACTATTTTCTTTCTATTTAAATTATTGTTTTTTTAACCAAACATAGTGGTATTCATGTCTTATAATAGATCGAAGTTGTCATCATTAGGAAGTTTATACATATTTTTTAAAAAAGTTACGATAGAATTAATTTTTCTTCAAAATCACCTATTCTGGGTGGAACGAACATTTAAATGAAAATTCACTACTATTTAATTTAGAAAAACATTTTGTTGACAACAGAATGGGACAACTAGTTATCTCTTTGATTTAGAATATATATACATACAATAAAAATAAAAATATATATATAATATGAAATTTTAAATATTTAAATAATGCAACTACATAATTTATAATGGTGATTGGTGACTAACATATATCTACAACAATATTTTGGACATAATAAGATACTTTATGGTGGCCAATGCAATAGCATGCACGTATGCAGCCATCTCTCTACTCCTTGCCCTCCTAAATAGAGGTAAAAGCAAAGGTCTGGGAGCATTGATCACCGTCCTTGACGCATTCATGGTGGCTTTGCTCTTTTCCGGCAATGGCGCCGCCGCTGCCGTCGGTGTTCTTGGCTTCCAAGGAAACTCTCACGTGCAATGGAATAAGGTGTGCAATGTTTTTGGCAAGTTTTGTGATCAGATGGCTGCTTCCATTGTTGTGTCACTGGTTGGTTCACTAGCATTCCTCTTGCTGGTGGTGGTTCCTGTGTTGAGGCACCATCGTAGAACTTAGTTAATTCATAAGCTTAATTTTATTTTTAGTTTTTTTAATATGTATTCAAGGACATGTAATAAAAATTTACATATAATATTATATATTTTTTTAATAAAGATGTATTATTTATTAACTTATTTTTGTGTTTCTTTGAAATTTGAACATATATTAACAGTGCTCGACTCACAGCTTCCATCTATTATTATGTATAAGAAACTTAATTTGAAGGCTGTTGTTCTATTTCAAATAAGCTCTTTGCTGTGTGTTTGATAAGTGATAACAGAGCTAAGACACACTCCTCTCCTCCACAAAGAACCTGTATGCTTCTTTTTTTCTGGGTCCATAAGGAAAGTATCATACAATTCTTTTTGGGGTCAGTGTATCATACAATCTGTTGAAATTGGAATTTGTGGCACAAAAATTTTGTTGGCCCGCACAAAACCAAAATTTGATTTAGGAGGCCGAACTTTAAGCCCAATCCTAAATGCATATATATATATATATATATATATATATATATGCTTAAATAAATCCTCACCTTACTTGACCTTCTTACAAAGGTTACAAAAAGCAATAACTAGGAACAAAAAAGGAGAGGATTAAGGAGCATGTGCTTGTCCTTCCTTCAAAATGAAACAGCCTTGCATATTGCTTGATGGGTAGAGAGATCTTCAATCATAAATTATGAGTGTTTGTGATGTTTATAATTTTGGGGTAACACTTAACAAGTAACGAAGGCTAATATCATATCATATAAAAAATGACCATTGCTTTGTACCCAATTAACTAAATTACATGATCTTGTGATCACAGCAGCGTACGACACCAGCGGTGGGCGCATGCTATACCTTGTTTCCTTGACTTCTCATTCCAAAACAAACTTCTCTTTTCACTTTCATTGTTCATCACTTTGTGGGGTCCAAGCACTGTGCTGTAACAAGTCTGTTATTTTGGTCTCTGCTCCTTTTTCCCACTGATACGGTTACTCTGCATCGATTCATATATGATGGTGTCACCCTCACATGGCCGCGGGAATCTATTCAATTTACCCATTACCCATTTTCGTACACCATTTTGTGTTAGTGTCAAGCCGTTATGTGTGTCCAATTGGGTAACATTATAATAGTGTTTGAATTGCATAGGTCTCTTTCCTTAATTAATTCTAGAGACTAAATTTTCATTCTAGTCTATTTGACTTTATAAAATTGAAGTTGAACACTCAAGTCATTAAACCAAAACTACGATGAAAGTTTTGGTTTACTTAAACTCCTAAGAATTTCTTGAAAGCATAAGGAATAGATAACCATGCAAGGTGGAAGAAACAACCAACAAAAGAAAAATATGGCAAAAATGGCAAGTGCAAAGAGGGGAGCAAAAAGATGAAAATAACCAAAATAATAGGGAAGCATGAAAATTAAGAAAGATGAAAGTGCAGAGAATTGGTTTGAACGTGTAAAAAAGGTACAATATATCCCAAGAGGAAGCATATCTTTTTTCTGCAGTCTTGTGTAACAGTTTGATTGAAACCAATAACCCAAACAACCCTTATTTTTTCCGCTTACTTTCACTTGAGGAATACAAAACCGTTTGGTATATAAACACGAGAACAAGAGTGAGAGAGGAGAGAGGAGAGAGAAGAGAGGCAGAGGAAGATATCAACTAAACTGTGATGGAAGGCTACACTGACACTGACTCTGTCACGCCACTACTCTCTCAAATCCTACCTTTTTCTTCTTCTTCTTCTTCTCTTCACCCTTCTTCTGTTGACCCTTCTTCAACCATTGCTGAAACGGGTAACAACACCACCTCCAAAAAGCGTGATCGACAATTGGGTCATAGCAATTGCGAGATCCTCAAGATGGAACGAGAACGAAGGTCCAAGATGACTCAAATGTTCACTCAGCTTAGAACCACTGTCCCTGGTCTCTTTCCTCAGGTTCATCAATCATCAATCAATGCCCTTTTCCATAATTATGCCATGTTTTCTTGAGTTTTGGTTACATGGTTGTTCTTGGATGTTAATGTCAACATTTGAATTATTATTTTTTTCTCCACCGCTTTTTTTAATGTTATCAAAATTGTTAAATTTTGCTAAATCAGTATCACCCCTTTTTGTGTTTTTGGTTTTTGGGATTTGTAGGCCACAAGGGAAGTGATCATCAACGAAACAATTGAGTACATTAAGGAACTTGAGAAGAAGAAGCAAAGGTTGGAGGAGCTCAAGGAATCAATGAAAGAAGAACAAGGGAGATCCATGCTTCCATGTGCTAACAATAGGAATTGTTCCATCACGGTTACTGTTTCTAGCAATGTGGCATTCTTTGGTATTCAATCTGTGGCACGACCCGGTTTGATCACAATAATTTTAAAGCTGTTCTCCAAGCACCAAGCTGAGATTTTAGCTGCAAATGTCTCAGTTAATAACGGGAAATTGATATTAGCAATCACGGCTTTGGTACACAATGGTGGTGACGGAAACAGTGACATTGAAAATATAAAGAAAGATATCATGAGTTTGCAGGTTTAACTCTTATGCTTTGAATTTTCTTTAGAAATTTAAACGGAGGACATGACATGGTGTATGATTTTGGTACCATGTGTGTGTTTTTGTACACAAAAGTGGAACTAATACAAATACCGAATAACAGAGACCATGATTAATGGGAGAAGAAATAGTGGGTGGCATTGAAATATATTAGTCAAAATGTGTATCATGAGCAAAATAATTAGAATATATGGTTCAGTGTATTGAAGGGGTTGTTATGGTTTTTTCTTCTAGATCAAGAAATTGGACACCCACATTTAACTTGCTTTTGTCCTAAATTTACCTAAGAAGGAAGGAATCGGGTGAGGGAAAGGCGCTTCATTATCCCAAATCATTGCAAATCATGGGATGGACCCCACAGACATAATATGCATAAAGAAAATGTTAACTTCAACCTTTAAAATTGAACTTAAGTAATTAATAATAATAAAATTTATTAAAAAATTATCTTTATAGTTTTGTATCTTAATTTAATAAATATATTTTTTAATTAAATTTACCACTTTTATATGCTTAAAATAAATTTTAAAATGTTGATATTAACAACCTTATCATCCAAATTAATGTTATAATTAAGTATAAATAAAGTATTTAAGTGATTAAAACCACTTTTTTTAATGCTATTGAATTGTGTGCCAAAATTTTGTATCACTATCAATAAATCCTATCTTAAAAGTTTTATTTCAAGGAATATTTCAAATATATAAACATCAAATGCTTCATTTGTGTGTAGAATTAAGCAAGGAATTAGAGTTTATTAGAACTTGAAATTGAAATTTATTCAATTACTCACGATCTTTTATTCTTGGAAATACTTTTAGAATTAAAGTCATAATTCTATAACAATCTCGTGGAATTTCAAAATAATTTACTAGAGTCATTCACAACAACTACTACTAGTAATCTCCATTTTTAAGGATGAGCTTAAACATCTATAAACAGTAAATTTTTGTTTTAAAAATATAATATTTATTGCACTTCATATTCTCAAGATAATAAATAATTAATTTTTTCAATAAAATTACCATTTTGAATTAACATTTTCCTATTACAAAACTTCTTTTCACTCCACCCAAAAAAAAATCTGTTTTTTTTTAATAAAAAAAATTATGTTGGAGGAATTGCTATTAGCAATCACGGCTTTGCGGCAAAATAGTGGCGAAGGAAACAGTGACATTGAAAATATAAAGAAAGAAATTGAGTTTGTAGGTTAAACTCTTTTGCTTTGAATTTTCTTTAGCAATGTAAAAGGAGGACACGGCATGGTGTATGATTTTAGCACCATGTGTGTGTGTTTTTATACACAAACAAGCAGAACTAAACCAATTCCTCAGTAACATAGGTCCTGATTCTTGGGAGAAGAAATAGTGGGTAGCATTGAAATGCAAACACTATACAGTGTATTGTATGAAATTTTTATGAAAAATCAACATTACAATTGAGTAATCAGAACCACTTTTTTTAAGTGTTGGCATTTGAAAAATCATATTGAGAATTTATTTGAGCTTATTAAAAAAATTTATGATATACAAAATTATAAAAAATGACTAAATTAAGTTATTTAACCAAGCACCCTTACATTAAAGAAAAAAAATTATGAATAATGAATAGTTTAAAATTAGTATCTATAAACTTAAGATGACTTTCTTTAAATTGATTATTGTAATTTTTCTACTATTTTAAAGATTAAAGGATATTTAAAAGAACATAGAATGTCCTTTTTATCTACATGACACAATAAAAATTTCTTATTTTAAATAAGAATAACTCTTCTATTTGCAATCAATTCAGTATTTATTTATTAATAATCGTTGCATTCATGTAGTCCACTTAGTGCATTGTTTCAAACTGTTAGTGCAGGATGTTCCATTTAGGTCTTAAAAATACGTAACTACCAAAATTACGAGATAGTCCTGAACATGAGGAAGACTTCATGGGTTAAAAGGGGTAGCCTCAGTCCAAATTAGTTCACTGCATTTATCAACACATACAAAATTGGGTTGGCAGAGGAGTGCGTATATAGTAGTAGGCCACTACATCCTCAGAATCGTTTAGCATTTTAATAAACGATTGAACCAATATTACTTATAATCCATGAACCCCAAAAAGAGAAATTGTTCAAGTCGAACAATTTAATGTACCAGACATTGACCGACCAGTTGACACAAACTGCAACTCATCATTCCTTCGCGGTAGAGCAGGGAAGAATAGGGCAATTTTAACTTGAAACGAGAGATTAAAATTCCACGATTGTCACTTGGATTTTAACAAAGCAACTGCTTGCAGTTTAGAGTACAGACATGTGCCAGATTATTTTTGTTAAAACATAATCTACGGACATTCAAATTTCAGTTCTTGAAACACCAACAAAATCCCACTAACTTTCAATATGCAAAACCTTAAGCACTTTGTATAAGAAATAGTAAGAATGGAAGCAAATAAAATAAAAAATTCAAATTAGTAATCAACATTTGCTATGATTGGAGACTCGTCTAACCGGGGGGCACAAAGCATCCAGGTAAGGAGACACTCAAACGAGCATATTCTAAAACAAGATGTCGTCAATTCCTGAACTCATGCTATTGTGGAATAGCTCCTTCCCTGTTTAGGTCTTCCAAATTTACATTTGCCTCGAGTCCGATGCTCGGTAACTCACTAACCATGGCAAGTATGTCAGATTTCAAAGAGGCTGCCAGTGCCTGTAAGTAACCGAAAAAAAGTATAAAACAACTTTTAGAGTCTTATAGAACCACAAGTGAGCAAAGAGATAAAAATAAATTATCTTCACAACTGAGACAATATACCTTTCTCTCCTCTTCTTTTTGGTGCTTAATAACTTCCGAAGGCCACTCAGATACAAGCTTTTGAAGTTCATCCTTGATGCCTGACTTCTTTGCATCAGACAAGGTCTAGCAACAATTGAATCAAAAAAAGGAAGTTATACAAGACTCTGAAAAGACAAATATGACCTTCCACTCAGCATGCAAACAGTCATTCTAATACAACCATCACTAAAGCAAACACAGCACATGCAAACTTCCAAGGAATAACATCATCATAAAATCAATCCAATTCTACGCATCCAGGTCGTCATACCTACTCAATTCAATCAAAGGCTTGTTGCCAACAATGATCATATCATATCAAAACCAAGCTACGACAAAAAAATTGTTTTAAAAAATATAATTAATGATATGATTTCTTCACTGCCATGTTATTGGTACTAATTTCATTCTGAAGTTCCTTATCAAAAAGCTATAATTTCAGCTACAATATAATATTTATAACTGATTATTATTTTAATCAATGTTTCCAGGGTAATAATCTTACAATTTCATCTATCCACTGTTTTATTTCCTATTGCAGAAGCATTTCTTAGTTTCCCCCTTTGGCAAAGAAATTTATAACATAGGAACATGTAAAAGAACAAACAGTCTACCTGATTTAGAACTTGAATGACAGCAACTGCATCACTGGGTTTACGTTCCAACAGAAGGCCCTGCAAAATTATAAAAAACAAGCTTATGCTTACTCTCTTGGAATGCTTCTAAGACCCAACCTAGACACAGGAAATTCAGGGCAACTTAAATGAGCAAATGTAAGATTTCATAAAGTTTTGTTAAATTGGGAAAATTAAGATTTTTTTTTTCAAGTGGCAGCTAAAACTATTGTTAAGGACAACAGATAAATAAATCAAAATATGCCAAAAATACAAAAGAATTTTGTGCAATATAATATGTTTTCAGAGCATGATATCTATTAATCAAAAGTAAAACTCATTGAGATTTTGTGCAATAACCTAAGACACACATAGCATATAAACCTGATAACTGAATCATAATCAAAATTAACCACCAAATCAGACAAAGGTGTAGATAGACTTGCTACCTTAGCACAAGCAAACCCAGTTGCCAAAGTGTGCTGCTTCATTGAATTAGATCTCAAGTTTTCTATTTTCCACAATGATTCAGTGTCTCCTACAAAGAAGGAAATGAAATATATAAATGATTAACTCAGCATGGATAGAAATGATTATAGAAAGCTCAAGAGGTTATAAATATAGTTGAGCCAAGGAATTTTGAAAGAAAGAGCAAGTCAAGACACAGTAGACATAAAAAAAAATTTCCTCAGCATGATTGCTAAGTTAATGATTTGGACTATTCAACAAACCCAGTGTTCTTCAAAACTGGAAGACATGGTCGATCACCATCCTTCAAATATTTAAGTAGTAGTTTATCATGTAAACCACCCCTACTATTAATTTTCTATGTAGTTCTTTAACATTGGTCTGACTTATATTGATTCTGTCAATAAGCAAATTAACAGCCAAAATCTCTGTATTGAAATACAAATTTAGGTATTATACTAAATTACAAATTAGCTCATTTACATATCTAAAACTAATTTCCAATTGTGTTTACTGAAGACACCATTATAAGGCCAAAAATGTAAGCTATCATACAAATAAAAGGGGGGAAATCAAATAATTTGTATATATCTATGACATATCCTAGACCCATTAAACAAAGTTAGCACCTGCCTTCTGTTGCCACTAAATAACTGCATATGGAATCAATTTTTAAAATCTTTCTAACACCAACACTTGTGCTAACTAGAGAGCATGCATTTGGAGAAAATTTGTGAGGCCAATAAAAGTCAGAATTTCTAGTTTTATGAAATTCTATTTACAACATAGTCTACATAGTCTCTCTATTGGGCTTCTTTCAATTTTTTAGAAACAATAGCTTTGCCATCATAGGAGATGATGCAAGTCAAGTTAAGAAAGAAAAATGAAAATCCAACAAAAATTAGACAATTTATAAATCTCCATAAGTTTTCAGGTATTTTAATGTTCAATAAAGGAACCTGATTTGATGAACTGCTATTGGATTAAAGGTTATCAAAGTTGACAATTAGGCAGACAAGAAAAACATGAAGTAAACAAATAAATAAATATAGATATACACACACACATGCACACCTCGTTTTGCAGCAAATTTCATCCACTTGTCAAATGAGGTTTGTCGTAGTTTTACGCCAGCCTTGATATACCTTTTCGCATACTTATTAATCAACTCCCACTCATCTGTATTATAACAAATGCTGCAAATTATCAACCCAGGTAAAGGGTCAGAGGCATATACAAAATAGAACAAAACCATCATAACAAGATAGCTTAACCAAAATGAGGACAACACAAGTTTCTGTACTTATATTCTTTGATCTTAGACATTACTAAAAACAATCTTCACAAACGAAAAAAATACCTAGATTCTCCATTTTAATCTTGGTTTGTTTCACCTCCAGCTTCAAAGAAAGGTTTGGCGTACCAAATGCATGCTATAATGCATCCATACATTTGCACTTGGAAAATTAAACAAACCAATTTTTAGTCTTATAGCCTTACACACAAACAGGCACCAGTTCCCTTCATAGAATGAATATACTGTTCTGGGAACCAAACAAGATAGGATTTGAGTGCATGCCAGCAACTAAGAGAATAATTAAATCTACTAATGTCTACTTAATACATTTAGACGTGAAATCCAAATTCAAATATATAAAGCTACCCTTTTGCATAAGACACTCAGCACTGCAAAACAAAAAGCATGAAAACATCAGAATTTCAATATACCGGAAAACTATATCTGCTGTGCCCGGTTGCAATGGCAATCCATTCGTATTCAGAAGTTTCATTACTTCCACTAACAGTTTAGTATCATTGTGTTTCTCTGCATACAGCTGCAGTAAAATGAGAGTAACTTAACAAATAGATATTGGAGACAGAATCAAAGAATTTAGAACATTAATATGTCAACAATACCAGTAAATGGTGTGCAGATGCAACATTCGGCGCGAGTCCATAGACATTATGCTTCCACAGAGCCTTCTTGCCTGCAAACACGTGTTAGCCAAATAGCCTCAATCTTCAAGTTCCAGAAATGAAAAACAAACTGGAAGCAGGGATAGAGTAGGCATACCAAAATCAACGGCTCCTGCATGTACACATGCTTTAGCAACTTCTCGACAGAGATTGCAGTTAAAATTGTCATGAATGCGAAGATTTGACAACCTCTGGTCACAAAACAGATTAAAAATCATGAGTAAGAATTTGTAACAGAGAAAGAAGCACGGGAGGGGAAATGAACAGAAACTAACAAATCTACGGAGGTTCTGCAAAATGTCGAATAGAAGCGTAATATCAGCGTGGTGTTTGCAATTTGCAATCATTGACCACAACCAGGCATTCGGGGGCATGGATCGTTGAACATTAACAGAATGAAGCATTTTATCGTAGAGTTCCTTCACATCCTCTGCATTCACGATTACATAACACAATTCAAACATCACGAAATGAAATCTGTAGAGGAAGTTACCGGAAACAAAATAATGAGGAACCTGTTTGAGTTGCTCCTGAACAGAAAGAAGGCTTCGAAAAGAAGCAATTCAATGGATCATTTGTCACTTGCCAGCAATCACGTTGCGTGAGCCCTGTCTAATTCAACGTATTCGGGTCATACAATCAACACAGGAAAATTTCAAAAAATAATAATAATTCGATTCAAACACTCGCTATCCAGAAATGATTAACTCATTTAACTATTAATGGAGCGGAGGTGAGAGAAGAAAACAGAAGAGACCTGAGAGAAAGGGAGAGAGAGCGGTGCTTCGAAGATGAGGAGAAAGGAAAAAGCGAGAGACTCGGCGAGCATTGGAGAGGAGTTGCATGGCTCAAATGCCAAGGAACCGAGTTACAACTCAGTCCTGAGTTATGCCTGGGCGAACTCGGCAGGTTTAAGGGGGAAGAAGCCTTCAGGTTCAGGGTTTACGGGACTACACGCTACACATACACGGAGAGAAAGGGGACCAGTGCTCTGCTGCAACAGTCTATAGCTTTGTTTACATGGACTTGCGGTTTCTTGTTTTTTGGTCAACCATGGACTTTGCGTTCTGCTTTGGGTTGATTGGGCCTCACTAATTGGACAAGCTTGCTTGGGTCCTACAAATTGATTCATTTCATGTAATTTACTCACTATTGACCAAAACTTTATGGAAGGCTCTACTCGTATTGCAACACCTTTTGTTGTAAATTAATCTTAAACATATATTGTTTAAACCAAACATATTTTTATGAAATTGAATCAGGAATGACTGATGAGAATAAAAATACGAAAAATACAAGGGACTAATAGTTTAATATATATATTGAATTTAAAAGTTTACTTTTTGATAAAAAAAAATATAGAATTGAGTTTTTTTTAAATGATTAAATTATTTTATATTTTTTATAACTTAGTAGAATTAATATTGATTGACATTATAAATTAATTAATTTTATTTAATAACTAATTAAGTATAATAAAATTATGCTATTTGGACCTTAGACCAGTTAAAAAAAAGCCCAATGACTGTTCTTCCTAGCAAAAAACGAAAGAAAATATCACTCAGAATTATAGATAGTTAAAGAAATGTGGCATTAAATACCATCGTTATCCGTTAATACTACAATTAACGTGCAATGTATTTGTTTGTAATACCAAATAAGTACTATAAATAATATCAATAACTATTCTATCAAATTACTATATATCAAAATAAGACTACTCTTATGCCTTTCGATACTTGGAGAATTGAAGTACTTATTGATAACACAAATATTTGATAAACCAAATTAACATTGAGCCAATCTTTGAAGGATTAAATTAGTAGTTAAATTTTAAAATAAAAAATGTTAAACGTTTTAATAATAAACATGTTAAGTTAATGTTCATTAAAAATAAATAATTCAACGATACTTATGATTTAAAACCAACATGTAAAGATTAAACAGTAAAATTAGTTTGAAAATCAATATTTTCCATTTTATTCCCTTTCTATTTTTGAATCAAACTTTTTTAAACATTTTTCTTTTAATTATCGAAAATACTTTTGTTTAATAATTTTCTTATATGCACTTGTCATTATTATTTTACGTATAGCAATGATAACATGACTCAGGTTAAATGTGTTATCATTAAATAGTTTTAAGTTGATAATGGGAACTAAAAAAATTTAAAATGTAAAAATGTAAGAAAAGAAAAGTTATTTAAACCTTAATTAATTCTCCTTTTGAGTTTTAACGTATTTGTCTTTTTCTCATGCAGTTAGATATCTTTACCATTTTATGATTCACGTTTTACAATTTTTTATAATATACCAAAATAATGATTTTTTATTTAATTGGTTTAACAATTAAAAAAATTCTTTAATTTTTAATTAATATTCAATTTGTAATACCTTTACATGTATACACATAATTTTTTTAAAATATCTTATATATTTTATTTTAAAATATCATATAACTTTTTTTTTTAAATTTAATTAAGATATATTGATAACATAAAAAATTTTACATTCTCATTCAATTGTGAATCATACAGCATCACAAATTGACCACACAGCTAGCACAGCATAAAATCATTTTATTTGATATATTTATTTACTTGTTTTATTTTGTAAAACTAAAAACATATGTTAAGGAATGTGCATCACAAATATTAAGAGTATTACTACCACTATTTAAATTAAATGTAAAATATAATGCCGAATTGAGATCTCCTTCCTGCATGTAGCATAGTTCCACGTATTATTATGCAACGCAACTGTCTGCTATCCAATAATCCAACTGAACTCCTTATTGATTTTCAAAAGTTCAATTTAATCCTCTCTGGTGTATATATATATATATAGAAATTTTCAATTTACTTTTAGACTTAGAAGAGCACGTCAGTTTCTTGGATTGGTTGATCTGCTTCTGCGTCTTGACTCAATAAAGATCATCTTGAGAGTGATTGTTGAAGGTGTGAGTGAGGTTTGTTATGAGAGGTATCACTCTTTGGAGGGTTTTGTTGCTTTGAATTTGAAATGGGTAGTTGTCTTCCTTGTTTTGGAGGAGGATCATCCAGCAGCACACGCACTGGGTCGAGGAGATCTTCTAGAGGATCTTCATCTTCTCGATCTCGCCAATCATCCATGGCTACCTCAACACCCAGAGGTCACGACAAATTTTCTATCTTTCTTTCATATACTGCTTCTGGCTTCAAGTTCCCACCCACTTCCCTTCAATTTTCCGTTTTTCACGTGTTTTCTTGGTTTCTTGTGACCCTCTTTTTCTTGTAAACGGTGGTAGTGCTTCCTATACTTCGGCAGTGATATCTTTTCATGCCTAGTTTATATCTTTTACCTTCAGTTTGTTGAATTTCGTTGCACTGAGTAAAGTATGCAATGTTTTAGATAATTTGTTGCAAATTTGAATACTTTTTACCAAGACAGGTTTGCAGCCTAAAAATGTGGAATGCCTTATTTAGCGCAATGTTAGGTTTGTTCAGACGAATCTATTCTAAAATACAATCCACACTTGTATTTGTGTTGGGATTTGAAAACTGCTTAAATCACATTTTAAGTAATGATGTTAGCACCACCTTCTCTTACGTAGTTTTTATTCTCTAACTTCTTCCCTATCTATATTTTTCTGTTTCTTTCATGCCTACTCATATTTTATTATTTTATGTAAATGCAGCAAATTTTCCCACTAATGCGGGGCTGGTCAGAATTTCTTCAAGAACATTTTCGTTCCAAGAGCTTGCAGTTGCTACACATAATTTTAGGCCAGAATCTTTGTTAGGTGAAGGTGGCTTTGGGCGTGTATACAAAGGTCGACTTAAAACTGGGCAAGTAAGTTGTGATGGCCACCACAAAGTTTTTGGATTTACTGTATACTGAAGCTCAACCTTTCAAATACTAAAAAGATAACTACATTTTGGGTCTAGAAGCTATATGGTGGTGGTCAATTTTTCATTTAATCAATACTGTGTTACTGTCTAATTCTAAATTATTTTGGATGGAATCATGTCTATGCAGAGAGTTGCTGTGAAACAGTTTGACGAAAAGAGCCTTCAAGGAAACTCAGAATTTTTAGCGGAGGTTCTCATGCTCAGCCTCTTACATCACCCAAATCTTGTGAACTTAATTGGTTATTGTTCTGACGGTAATCAGCGGCTGCTTGTTTATGAGTACATGCCATTGGGGTCTTTGGAGGATCATTTACATGGTCAGATTGCACTATTTTTCTTTCACCTGTAACCTTTGCTACCTGAATTATTGTGCTTGAATTGCTTTCATTATATATATATATATAATGGTTAAATAACAAAATATTCTTTGTATGCCACGACGATGATGTCTTTTAATAGAATTGGAAAATACAACTAAATGTGACATGAAGAAACAAATAAGAATCTTAAGGTGCCGTTAAAACTTTGAAGGGATGAAATTTAGTGTTCAAAAAGCATGCCGACTAAGGTGTGAGCATTCTGACATTGAGACTTATTGTAGATGTTCCTCCTGACAAGGAGGCCCTTGACTGGAACACAAGGATGAAAATAGCAGCTGGTGCAGCAACCGGATTGGAATATTTGCATGACAAGACAGACCCCCCTGTAATATACAGAGACTTTAAATCATCTAACATCCTCCTTGGCGAGGATTATTTTCCAAAGCTATCAGATTTTGGGTTAGCAAGAACTGGTCCCACGGGTGATAATACTCATGTATCCACACGAATAATGGGAACATATGGATATTGTGCCCCAGAATATGCCATGACTGGGCAACTAACTTTGAAATCTGACATCTACAGTTTTGGTGTGGTGTTACTCGAACTTATTACGGGGCGCAAGGCTATTGATAAAAGACGTCCACCTGGAGAGCAGAACCTTGTTATATGGGTAAAGTTCCTCACTTTGTCTGTGTTGGCTTCTAAACCATATATATCAAGAACAATGAATGGTTGGAATATGTCAATATTTGAATAATTAGCATTGTTGTATGTTTTATGGAACATTGTAGGCCCAACCTCTCTTTAAAGACCGTAAGAAGTTCGCCAGAGTGGCTGATCCTCTACTTCTGGGGCGTTTTCCAATGCGAGGACTTTATCAAGCACTTGCTGTTGCAGCAATGTGTTTGCAGGAACAAGCTACTGCAAGGCCTGTAATTGGGGATGTTGTGACTGCTCTCGCATACCTGGCTACACAGACAGGTGGCCAAAATGCATCATCAAGTCAGTCTGACATTGGTCTATCATTGCCGACGACTAGGGATGAAGTAAGGGGCGTGGCTGATAGCATAGATCGTGGAGGGATTGGCTCCTCTTCCACCCAGAGAAATACACCAGGTATTAGGATCAGAGAGGGTAAGGAAGCAGAGAAAGAAATTGGTGAAGGGTCGGGGAAGGAATCTCAGAGAGGTGGCTCTGAAAATACTGCAAGAGGTAGAGAAAGTCCAAGGAATCTGAGGGAAAAGAAGGCAGGAAAGAGTAGGTTTTTTTGATTCAACATACACGTCGGCTGTAGGTTCATTTTACAGAGCAGTAACGGCGTTCAATTTTTGCCTCCATATTTGCTTGTACAGTGGATTAATTTGGTGGTGGTGTTATTGTTGTCACATTATATTCGTACACTCTCTGTTGCCTGTCTGAGTCACATCTTATTGTATATCATTTTCCATCACGTTTCCCTTAATATTGCACGAACAATCACCAAATTAAAGCATACAAAAGCTATGACGAATTATGCCACAATCGAGGAGTTGAATATAATAAATCCTGGTGTTCGACCATCAGTGGCATCGTTGTGAAAGACTTAACCGCATTGACAAGCATCATATGAATATGAGAAGACTAAACCATCTTCACTTTCCCGGTACTTGGAATAATAAACCTGAACTAGCCCTCCTCTCTGCCCAGTCAAAGGAACCATACTTGCTTTTTAGCACACCTATTGAAGATTCCAACTTAAATGCATTTAGAACATCCAAAATTGCTGAACACAAACTATTTTATTTGCCCGAATTGTGTACAGGTTTTAACCCACAAATTCGCGCACGAAATTGAAAACTGAAACTACTTTATAATTGAAGCTAGAAAGGATGGACGCATCATTTGATTTCCAAATCCAGTAAACTAATCATCTATAAGAAAGCTGTCAATTCGATCGGTCTGGTTCAGCTACATTGAATAGCAGTTTAAAAAACCTTAAACAATTCAAATATTTAAAATTACACTCAAATTGAACCCTTTGCAGGTAGCTTGCACAGACAGATCACACTACAATTTTTTTAAATCTTGAGAATGCTTATTTTAATATTAAAAATATATTTAATCCATTAATATATTAAAAAATAAAATATTACATTAACAATATTTTTAAAACAAAAATTTAAAATATCAAATAGCTATCCAATTTAAACAAAAAATATCCTCAAATCACTTTATCCAACAAAATTAAAATAAACACCAAATAGAACCCTAAATATTTAAAATACTCAATTATAAACCACCACCATCATCATTTAGAACCAAATATTACGTTATTAAATTATAATATAAAGCATTAATTATTCAATTTAATAAATGATTTTAATTAGAAATAAACATTTTTATCAACAAATATATATTATCTAAACATTCACCAACCAAAAAACGAAAATGCAGGTTCAAAATGCACAAGCTAGCCACAAACTTGGAACTTAAAGATTAAACTAAAGATTAAATTTATTGAGGCCTTCAATTCTCATGCCTAAACTACATTTTTCGCAAGTATTTTCAGACCACCCTACCAGTCAAATCCATTTGTCGGCTCTATTCTCTGCCATAAATATCAAGTAAAAGTAAGAATCGTGTAAAAATTGATTTCAACCTCAGGATAGTGGAGAAAGAATTACATATATGTTGGAACTAGCTATGGTTGAGATAAAATGGGCATTAAATCTAACGTTCTGTGTAAGTAAATTTACAAATTTCCAATACTCGCTCTCATCTTAATCCTCCCTAATTACCCTTTCAAAGATTATATTCGGGCCTACAAAAACACCAGACCATCACTGCATGTCAAGCCCACTACACATCAAAATCGACGCACGATCCACCCCTCCCGTTACTCAAAGTAACGTAGTGCGAACGTCCATTTATTTTTTCTTCTTCCCCTGCACAATGCCAGTTAGCTTCAGTAAAATCGTTCTATGACATCTGCGTATAAAATACAAATTAGCGAAAAATATACCGAGCTCATATAATCATCCATGGTTAACTGCTTCCGCTTCTTAATAGATGGACTCTCCGTCTGTCTAGGCAAGTTACGCTTTGATGGAGTCATATTCTGAAAGGTTTGTTAAACGTGGATAAAACTAACGGTTAACATCAACATAAATTAAGAAAAACATTCATTTTAGGTTAAAAAGGAGATACAAACCTTGGCGGCAAGTTTCTTCTCTTTACGAGCTTGTCTCTCCCTCTCATCGTGTTCTTGGTTTTCCTTCTCTACCAACCGAATGAGGGTGTCGCACCTCCTTGTTAGTTCCTGCGTTGTGCGGGACTTGACAAACCAATCAAAACGAAACAAGGGTGACATTCGAAAGGCTGCCTTCAATCCATCCCAATTACCATAGCCAAGTTTGTGAATCATGCATATCTGCAAATTTTATGATGAAGTCAGGTAAAAGAATTTCTGTTCGAAAAACACAGACGAAATAAAGAACTAAATAAAATTGGACATAAGGAAAATAAAAATGAAACAAATTTGTCCCGAAAGAAATAGATTTCACACCATGAATCGGTCACATTCTTCATTGTATAACTTCCCTTTGTTCTGTCCATATTGGATCTTCAATTCTAACCAAGGATTCTTGTAACGGTCCAACTTCTTCCCAATAGCTTTCATGATCTCATCTTTCCGTGATATTCTTGCCTCACCTCTTTCGATGTTTTTAATAATTCTATCATAATCTACAAAAAATAAGTACAAATCAGAAAGGGCCCTTGCTATTGGATAAACTAAATTAGAGCTTGATTTGACAAATCAGCATGCATAAACAAACAAAAAACGAAGCCAGAATGCATTGCAGTTTAACAAAATAAAATACTTTACCCAGTCCGTATCCATATATCAAAACAGTCAGTTGTTGGCAAAACCAAACAAGCAAATTGATTTTATTGAAAATCTTGACAGTATTTTATTACTCACTAAAAAAGCTTATTACATTATCGTATTGGATATCACTAACCATTTAATTCCTTGTATCTTTCTTTGAAAACTTTTGCGTATCTTTCAACTTCCTCCTGTGTTTTTCCTTCCATCTCAGAAGCAATACTTTTTATATCATTACGCCCATACTTCTCACAGGCCCTAATGAAAGTATTAAAATCCTTCCGACTCCATGATGAAAATCCCTATGTTCAACAAATACCACAATTAAAACAATAAATAAACATGTATTGAACCATAGTTTATAAAGAAATTTGTTCACCTCCTCTAGCAAGTGCTCCTTTTCTTCTAACTCTTCAGCAGTCAATGGATCTCCCACCTCTAAACATTCAACATGTACGTCATTATCAAAGTAATTAGGGTCAATAACATTTCCCTCCCCTGTAATTTTAAAAATTGCACTTACCTCTTTTGAAAGATGAGATGTGCTACACTTTAGTTCAATTCAATTTTAATGAAAACAACCATTTTAGTTCTGATGACCAAATGTTCGAAAGAATGTTCAAAAGAGACCCATTCACATGAAAATAAACAGAAATGTACAGGAGAGGGCAACGTAATGAAATCATCAGAGAATTTTAATTTACCCAAATAATTATACACGCACACAAGGGAAAAGAATAGTCTGATGATGGGTGTTGTACCGTACCTTCTTGTTCATCAACATCTATGGAGTCTTTCAACTGATTTTTCTGATGTGTTTGCTAAAAATTTTTAAAACAATATAAGCACATTGGATGAGCAAAACATGAAAACTGTGATCCAGCAAGTTCAGGTTACCCACCATGAGATAGCGAACTTCCTTTTCATACAGCTCACTTAGCCTTTGTGTATTGAAAAACTGAAAATCATGCCTAAATGCAACAGAATTAATAACTCCATCAAAATAGAAACACTATATTTAAAAATAAAAATTTGTTTCCATGAGAAGCTTACAATTGAGGCATCCTAGGAATTCGGGGCTCTTTTGGTTTAGCGGCACCGCCTTGGCGCATTGTTTGTTTGAAGTATTCAGACTCTGAGTAACTAGAGTCAAACAACCCAGCCCAAAAATACATAAATAAAATCATACATCAGAGCAGGAAAATAATTCAATAACTAAATGTAGAGAATGAAGACCAATGTTTACTTGCGCTTCCGTTCTCTTCTCGGTGGCTCAACCCAATTTTCACTCACGATTTTTTTGAAATCAAAATTGTTCTCATCCTTCATTTTAAGAAACAAGGTACACACAAAGATGTTTGTTAAAAATATAAGTGAGCCAGGGCTGGGGGTTGACAAACAAATGAGCAACATAAACATATTCAATCAAAGGAAGAAAAGATGAAATATCAATTTACCTTCTCATCATCAAAATCATACAACTCAGCAGCTATAAAAAGAAAAATATTAATCAGTCACTTCAAACTTTCATAAGAGTTAAAAGGTGACATTAAATAGCTCAATAGGAACAAAAAACTTGTATGTGTCCTAATAACAAAGAAGCTTCACTAAACATTAAGAGTAGAGCAAATGATTTGCAAGTTTAATGTATCTAGAATTAAAATTAATACACGAAACAAGGCTAATGGCATGTTAATCAGTTCACTCTCTCATTATAAGGATAAAGTTTCAAAAGGATGAACCACTCACACAAAGCCCAACAAGGCTCCTCCACTTCAGACAAAGCATTTATTATCTACCTATTATATGAACGCTACAAAGGTGCAGAGCAAAACGAAAAAACTTGGGAGGGTACAAAGGAATTTAAACAACAAAAATAGACTTAACAGTGATCAAAACATTATTAGCAAAGCCAGAACTTAAGATTCAAAAGTTACATACAGTCATCCATCTTAAATTTGATAGCATCTTCAGTGAATTTCTTCATCTTAGCATCAAGCTCAGCTGTTGCTTCCTCTCCTTTAGCAATAATTCTGTCAATATCCTCATCTGTGATTGTACTGTCCTTGGAACTAAAAACCATTTCAGCACCAAATCTAACCATTTGAAGCAACTCATCTTTATTTACAGCTGCATTCATAAACAGATTGTGTCATATTATACAATCCACAAGTCTTGTAAACAAAGAAATTTAAAAATAAGTATCCTGAGACCCTTACTCTTCTGCTCTGCTAATCGCCCTTGTTGAATCACCAGAGCATCAAGTGCAAGCTTTTTGTAAGCCCTTTCAATGACTTTCTCCTCAATTGTATACTGAAATTACCATACAAGATATTGACAAAAATGGTTGTCATACTAGAGCCAAACAGATTTTGTTGGACACTTTTGAATACTTCTAGCTTGCAT